TGAATAGGAAAACTTTCAAATATTCCAAACATACAACAAAAATTATTTTTATTTTTGGTTTGTTTTTAAGAAACAGGCATGGACCATTCCTCCTCTTTGTTTCCTTTTTACATGTTCACACCCCACTCTTTACCACATCAAAATTTCTTGGGAAGAGCCGTCATGGTTTATATGGAGACAATGTAGAAGAAATGGACTGGATGGTGGGTAAGGATTCTTCATGAAAGATTTGTTTCAGACACACACACCTGTGTATTTTGGAGCAGGAAAACTAATAAAGCCAAAATACCTACAGAAATCTAACCTATTAAAAACTTCTTTTATAAATTATTAGTATTATAAATGTGGCTTGATCTTTCTAAATGGTTAATAGGAACCTTGCTGTCTCTATTCTTAATTTTAAGGCAAAATTCTGGATGCTCTTGACAAAGAAGGTTTGAAAAATCATACATTCACATACTTTGCCTCTGATCATGGAGGACACTTGGAGGCTCGTGACGGATCTGCCCAGCTAGGTGGCTGGAATGGTATTTATAAAGGTAGGAAAACCACTATGACTTTCCATGAAGGTTAGAATCAGAAACAGTGAGTTTGCCTGGCTGAAGCTATCAAGGCTGGAATAAGTTGCATTTTTAGCTTGAAATATAGGTGACACACAGAGGTGTTTTAATCTTAGTGTCACCTTTTCTTTCAGTAAACTGCAAGCATTATTACACATCCTTGACAAAGGTATTGTTTAGCTTGATACCTGTAAATTATTTGGTGTTTTCAAGTGAACGGCACTGGAAAAAATGTGATAGTTCCCTATATTGAATATTCTCTCTCTCTTTCTCTCTGGCTTTTTTCCCCCTCTCTCCACAATAAGACTGCTTCCTGATTTGCTTGTATCTTTCTCTTGTTATGTTCCAGAAATCATTGCTGCCCAGCTAATCAATACAGAATAGAGCAAGGGAATGTTGTGTCATGACTTGCAGCAACAATTTATCCCCAGTGTGTTTTTATCTTCCACTCAAAATTTGTGATTGGCATAAAATCCAAATGGCCTTCGTGGTCTAAGAGGATCTCACTCTTTACCTCCTGCTTGTCCTTTTCTGCTGTGAATCATTATTCAACCTGCTGAGCAGCACAGTGGCTTTTTTCATTCCAGAAGAATATGAATTCATTGCGTTTTCTCTCACACAGCCCTGTGTCATCAGATCACCTCATCCTGTGACATGTCATCGACGTGTGACCATATGTGTTTGGGGAGGCGTCAGGGCTTAGGATCTGTTATCACCAATGAACCAGCCACCTCTTGCGCAAATTTTGATGTTTTTATTTTCCTCAAACAGGTTTCTTCCAATTCCAACTCTTCTTGAGTTGTTCCACAAGGCACAACAGATGTCAAAGGCATGGAATTTTGGCTCCCGTGGGGTAGATGCTCTGCTGCTGAGCAACGGAGGTTGATGGCCTGTATGAACAAGGAGGACTTTCAGTTAGTCTCTTCATCCTCCTTTTCACTCCTTGCTTTTGCTTGAGAAAGTGTTTTTCTTTATGAATGATAACACTGATTCATAAGCCTGATGGGATCTAACAAAGACAATTGATTTTTTCATATTATATATATGAATTAAACCAGGTGTCTGCTTTGGGAGCTAGATAAATATTGTCTTCATACCTCTAGCAACAGCATGCTTTATTAGGTTTGTCTCTGTTAGTAGTAAGCTGAGAAAAGGTGTTTTCCTGCCATTTGAAGTAAAGCATATATTATATCATAGATTAATGTTTTTTGCTTCCAAGTTAGGAGGTGTTGCATTAAGTATTGAGAGAGTCAGATCCAAATCTTGATTTCCAAAAAGGAAGAGCGGCATAAGGCATAGAGAAATACAAGTGTTAAGGACACATATTTTGAAGGGAATCCATGGTTAGAAAGAGAAGGTTGTTATGTTTGGTTATGTTTTGGTTTTTCAGCAGTTTATTAAAATAGGATACTAATTATTAAGGCTTGTGTAGGTTTAAAACGAACATCAGGTATTTCTTCAGTCTTGTGAGTTCTTCCAATTTCCAGTTCCTCCTCTTTTCTGTTGCTGGGAAGCTCTTCAATAACACAGGTGAATGCAGGCGACCTGTGAAATGGAAGATAACAAAGTGGAAGTTGTTTTATTATTGCTGAACATCAGCTTTTCAAAGGTAGATTTACTATTCCTGCCCTTACCTGAGGTCAAAGTTTGCCTTCCCTCATTTTCCTAGGTTTGGATGTGTTACGAGTCACATTTTGAGACCTGAAGTGTATGAAGTCCAATGCAAATGAAGCCTTGAATCTGTTGGATAAGCAGTGTGTTACCACATCTTTTTCTATACATTCGAATGCAGCGAGCCAGTGAAGAGGTTTGTGTTTGCCTCTGAACTGCCACATGTTCATTCATTTCACTGCAGGTGGCAAAGGCATGGGAGGCTGGGAAGGAGGGATCCGCGTGCCAGGAGTATTTAGGTGGCCAGGAGCATTGCCTGCAGGCATGGTTATCGATGAACCTACAAGTCTTATGGATATTTATCCCACAGTTGTTCATTTGGCTGGAGGAATATTGCCACAGGACAGGTATGGAGGTGTTTTCAACGAGAGAGACTGATAGGAGAGCTAATTTCTAAAAAATGACTGTGCTTCTTACCCTTGGAGATCCCACAAATATTCCTTAGCCTGAATCCTAGTCTGAGATTTTAAACCAGTGAACAAACTCTCCCACATATGCCCACAGGTGTGCATGTCTCCAGAGCAGTCATTCCTGCCAAAAAACAGGTGCTAATTTCAAACCCAGATTCAGCCTCATTCAGGAAAGAATTGGTGGCTGAGGTTGTTTTGGTACTGACTTGATTTATGGACACTTAGAAATACCTCCTAAAGTCATTAAACCCATCCTTGCCCAACAGATTTCTCTAAGCTCTTTTGAAAGTTGGTAAACAATTATGATGTTGGGATTGATTTCCTGAATAAATTATTTTTCCCACTAGACAAAGTTCTAAATATTGTTTACATATTGCTAAATGGAATGAGTTGACCGAGCCATTAAAAAAAAAAAAAAAACAAAAAAACCCAAACAAACAAACATAAAAATCTAGGGATTTAAATATAGGCTTGGCAGTCTTCTGGCTGCTCTAAATCTATGACCAAATTATTCTGTATGCTGTCTCAAGCACTGGCGCAGCCAATGTGAAGGCTGTGATAAGTATGCAGTTCACTGTCAGGTTTCTCCCCGCCTGAATATGCTTTTTCCTATTATATTAGGGTTATTGATGGACGAAGCTTGGTGCCTTTACTGCAAGGAAGAGCTCAAAAGTCAGAGCACGAGTTCCTGTTTCACTACTGTGGGTCCTACTTGCATGCAGTGCGGTGGCACCAAAAGGACAGTATGTAAAAATGTTTGTTCTGTGATAACTGCAAAACATGAGTTTACTCCTCTTGATAGCCATTTTGCTAATTGACAAATTTATTTCATGATGGGTGTTTATCAGTACTGATCTCTGAGATTCTTGAAATTGTTGTGCATGACATGTCCAGCTAGCCAGTCACTGCTGTGTCTTACATCAAAGAAATATTTGTAAGTAACAAGCCTACAGGAGGTGGGGTTGGAATACAGGCTACTACCACCCTGGAAATTTAATGTGGTTTTCTTCATACTTCTAGTGTTTTCCATCTTCAAAGTCAGTACTCCACACAAAGAATCTGATTTGTGGTGATGGGGTGCCAGCATGTATGAGAAGAGATCTCCTTATTAAATAGCTACAGTTCTATTATTTGAAGGCACTTTCCATTTTCCTCTATTGTCTTGCAGTGGTGCCATAAGATTTCTTTCCTACCAGGTGGGACCATTTGGAAAGCTCATTATGTGACCCCTGTCTTTCATCCACCTGGGGCTGGGGCTTGTTATGGAAAAGGAATTTGCCCGTGTTTTGGGGAAGGTGTGACCCATCATGACCCTCCGTTGCTGTTCGATCTCTCGCGAGACCCTTCTGAAGCCAAACCTCTGTCGGCTGACACTGAGCCCCTCTTTGACTCTGTGATAAGGAAGATTGGAAGAGCCGTAGAAGAGCATCGCAGGACACTGACTCCAGTCCCAGAGCAGCTCTCCGTGTACAACGTGGTGTGGAAGCCGTGGCTGCAGCCCTGCTGTGGGACGTTCCCCTTCTGTTGGTGTGATAAGGAAGGGGACAGCACACAAAGTTTGTGAGATGGATGTTTACCGACATGTCCTGTGGCACCAAGTCCTCTGCTGAAAAAGCTTTCTGAAAATGATTCGGTGTCCTTTCTCTCTCTGGGAAGCAAATCGGATGAAAATAAAGAAAAGGAATGTTAATCAGACATTTTTCTCCTTCATTCTTCACCACTAGCCAAAGGTCTAAGGAAATCCTCTCTGGTGTGGTAAAGGGCTTGAATGGAGTCTGCTTTTGCAGATTCACCTGCAGGAGAGGGCTGTAGAGGTATATGCCTAAACTCTGCCTAATTTAATCCTGCTCAAAGACGACAGTTGGAGAACTCTGCAGAGAACCCAGTGTATGGTGCTGAGCAGGCAGCAGTAGTTCGCAGTTGTGGGACTATAGCCCACAAATCATGGTCATAGTCTATCCAAACGTAGTAGTTTGTGTCATTATTGCTTCCTGTACTTCTCTGTTATCTCTGCAGTAATATTGTTGAGATGTTGAGCAACACGTGAGACAATGAATCTGATGTAGTGAGGGATCGTCCTCAAGTTGTGAATAGCTTTTTGAACAGATCTGCAGCTTTAGCTGGGAAACAGTAACACTGATCGCAAACAACACAAAGTACAAAATGTTAAAGTCCAGTGTAACCCTGCAACGGTTACTAAAGAGAAAGGAGCTTGTTGCTCTACAGAAAGAGGTCCTGGTGCATACTAATTTGACAAACAGTAATTTTATTGAATGTAAGATGCCAGTAAAAATGTTTTGGTTTAATAGCGTGTACTGCTTCAATGTCAGTTCCAGGGAAACAAGGCTCATTCAAGAGTCAGATTAGAAATAATGCTCAGAAATATTTGGTAGCAGTATACACAGGCTTACAAACTAAAACTTGTGAAAAATTTGTCACGCCAATACTAGTTAAACAAAAACACACACACATGCACATACACCCCATGCACCACCAAAAAAAATCCCAAGCAATCGACCAAAACAAAACTCCTGCCGTGGTGTGGCCCTAGCCAGACTTTCTAAGGAGACATAACTTTGCAGTGAAATTGCACAGATTTTAGGGCTTTGAATTGTATTAATGACTGTTTTTTTTTGCAGGAGTGGATGAAGTCAGACGTTATTATAAGCATGCTGCTAGAACTCTAGAAGACTTGGGGGTTGAAGTGGGTAAGTGGAAACAGATTATATTAGTTTGTTTTTTGTTGTTGTTATCCTGTGTCTGTCCCCCTTCCACCCCTTCCAAGGACTACCCCTGCAAATGTTTTACTTGCTTAGCCAGTTTAGTTGTTTAACAGTTTTCTTTTTATCTTCTGGTCTTTTGTCATAAGTGACATAGAAACAATTTTACAAATTTCTTTTTGTGTCATTTCAGTATTTATATTCTTCACTACTATAAGTTCACTCTGAAAATTTGTCAAAGGTAGAAGGGACTAGATGAATGTCAGTGCTTGCTTTTAGTACTCAGACATGTGCAAAATGCCAGATAGAAAGTGGCAGTATAAAGCACACAATGACTCAAAAACTGAGTTTTTGCTGGCAGAGAATTTGCCTGTATGCAGCAGTGAGTAAACAGCAGCTTCCTGTGCTCAGGCACAGTGAAAAGACAGTTAGTGCAAGAAGAGGAAATACTGCAGGGTTCAAAATACAGAGATAAAAATAATCTCCTTTCTGCTTCATTGTTACAAAGCTCTTTCTCAAAAAAAAAAAAAAAAAAAAAAAAGTTCTTGGTTTAAAGCTTAATTCTGTTGAAGACAATAAGTAAACACAGCTGTTACCTCTGTACTGGGTCACTAATGAATGTAGTAGTGAGAAACAGGATGCAAGGTCTGTGCTAGCAGAATGCCTCCTCCACTTCCAGACAGAGTTTCATTATTGGGGAAGAATTTAAAGGTGTGGGGGTTTTGGGTTGGTTGGATTTTTTTCTTTGGTTTTTTTTTTAAGGCATGTCAGCATCAGCATGGTCACATCTTTAGTGATTACATGGTGAGAAAGATGTAAACAGTCTAGAAACGCTGACAGAAAAGTTTAGTTCTAATTTGGACCAAAGACAAATGGAAATCAATACTTATGTTACTGGCAACTTTTAGAGATCCAAGGCATGACATAATTTTTGAGAAATGTATACTTTTTCAGTAAAAATGCTTGCACCAGAAGCATTACAAGCTGTTAAATAATCACACAAAATAAGTAGTATAGTCAAATAGGCAGTCCAATTTGAAAACTTATATTTTATAAAAATAACTGAGCATAGACATAAGTGCAAGGAGGTCAACAAATAAAAAAACTGATTCCAGCCATGATTATCCCTGCCGTGTATTATACAAATCTGATAGTTTAAGCTGCTTCATCCTTCCACCTCACTGACTCCTACTGACTTCTCCAGAACACAGTCTTGAATTCAGCCTTCATTTTACTCAAGTAACTCAGAGAACTGAAATGTCAACAAACTAATAGATGAGAGCTTCTTTAAGTAATTGGTTAAGACCTTTTGAAGGGTAAAGTGTATTATAACAGAGTTAAGTTGTGAAAGAAGTGTGAGTGGGGGGGAGAATGCTAAACTTTCTGTTCTTGGGGGTGGGGGAAGAAAGTGCAGTTAATATCTTCAGCACAGGTAGGTCTACTTTTCCTGAAAATGCAACAAAGAAGAAAAGACAGCATGACAGAAGACAAGGAAGGGGACAAGCTGGTCCTGTTACCCTGCCTGGGAGGCTGGAAAAGCAGGGTGGGAGAAACAAAACTCCGGGGCTCGAAGCGCTGTGTTATTATTTATAGCATTTCTCTTGAGGCACTGAAGTAGAGCAGTGACAGGCTTTATACAAATCTGCACAGAATGAACTGGGTAGGGAATCTAGCAAAGGCAGTAGCCATGCTGTGCCAGTATTTAAAGAATAAGGACTTTGTCCTCGGCCTGGAATTCATGTAAAACCTGCGCGGCAGTTCCAGTTTGCTGGCGGTTGCTGGCAGGGATCCCGGGCAGTTTCTGGGGAAGGGAGAGTAAGAGGAAAAGGAGCAAGTCCCAGTCAGCTTCCTCCCACGCACGTCTTAGAGGATCAGGACTGCTCAGCACACCAAGGAGCAAGAGGGATTTCAGGGCAAGAAGAATCATTGAGAAGAGGGTTTGTTTTCCACATTGTTAGAAGGGGTTGGCCTTTTTTATTAGTCTTGATCATTTATTGTGTCGTACTGGCTTACAGAGGGAACTACTATCTGCTGTTTTCTCGGAATTCTGTAAGTAATTCTGCTGATTGCTAGAGGCTGATGTTAGATTAATGGATTAAGTAATTTTTTTTTTTTTTTTTTTCATTTAACAGCTAAGGAAACTGGACAAGCCTTAGGGCCCAGGACTGAGTTCATGACACTCCTAGAGATGTCAGTGAGAGCTCTGCTTTCAAAAGGAATCAGCCCCTAACAGAAAAAGGTGAATATATATATATACACATATTTAAATTATTGTGGTTTGTTTGGTTTTTTTTTTTTTAAAAAAAAAAGTTTGATATTTCTTCTTGTCCTTTAGTAAGGTTAGTGTTCCTAAAATTGCTTGCAGTAAATCAGGAAGCACTAATGTTAATACCACCGCCAGGGTTATTAAGACTCAAATATCTTTTAATACCACCACTGCAACTCCCTGGTTCGAAATTCACAGCTTTCCTGAGGGACTGTACAAAATCTCTGCCTAAATACCAATGTGCCTGCCATCAACGGCTGGATGTGCTGCATGAACCCCTGGGGAGAAAGTGGAAGGCGGCGGAGCTGTGACACCAGCTTGGAAAGCTTGCCAACACCCACGGGAAATCAAGGGATTTCTGAGATGTCCAGACCTGTCTGGTTCCTTTGCTCCACTACAGCTCACAAGGGCTGTGACAATCCTCAGCTACTCAGCATAGGCGGAGAAAATTTTCATTGCAATAGTTGTGGCTTAACCACGTACCCCAAGGCCTTTAAACACAACACTGCCTACCAGTTGCTGGGAAAGCAGAGCTCTGCCTCCGTTGTTAAAGCACCAGAAAGAAGTTCCCTTTAGAGCTAAGGACCAGAGCCACTGCTAGATCTTTCCTCTCGAAGATTAATGCCTTCGGGCACTTTCCTGGTTGCCACCTCAGCTCTGTCCTATGGCCCCACAGTTCATCCGTGCTTCGGAGAACTGCGACCAGGTTGATTCTGAGGCACCACTACCATACAAATAAAAGTTTTTAGCTTATAGTAGTTAGTCCTTTCCTTAAGACCAGTACAGCCTGTCTTTTAAATCATGACGTTAGGCTTCTGGCATTTGCATTTGCAGCAAGGTCCTGCTTCAAACAGGCAATGCCTGTTGGGTCGCAGGGATCTTCCTGCTACCCCGTTAATCTCCCAGTCAGGCAGTGGGCAGGCAGGACGAGCTTCCAGCACTGCCTTCCCACTTCTTGCCAAGAGAGAGGGGAAAGTGTCATCAACCCTATGGAAAATTCCACATTTAATAGAGATCAAGCTTTTTTAATTTTTTTTTTTTCTTTTTTAATTTCCCGTATTGTCTCAGCTATAGCCAAACAAGTACCTAGATGTCACTTGGAAAAATTGTCAATGGACTCCAGGTTCTGACTCTTTTTATACTATTTTCCTGGTCAGAATAACAGCATCTGAAAATTTTTTTATCATATGGCTCATTCTTTGAAATGCATAGGGCAGGATTATACTCTGCTCTGGCCAGTTTAGTATTCCTCAGGCATTCAAGGTAATTGTAACATTCTTATGTACCAAAAAGGCAGCAGAAAGTTATCTCAGAAAATGCTGTATTTTCCCACTGGAGAACATGCTGATTTTGGAGGGAAAAACCCCATAAGTCTTTCATTATTGAAGATGGAACTTTCCAGTTCTCTGTGTTTAGAAGTGACTTTATGTTTACAAATGCACTTTCAGTTGTTACAGATAGTAAATAGTCTTACTATCTTCAATCTGTTCCTTAATAGAGCCAACAACATCTTTGTTCTTGTGCTGGTTTGAAATGGAAAGAAGTGTGGAAAAGTAGGGATTTTGCATGGATGGGATATTTCAGATTTATTATTTTCACAGTGAAGGAATGAATATTATCTCTAATATACTTCATTATATTATCTCTAATATACTTCATTATCTCTAATATACTTCATTATGATGTGATTCTGACTTTCTCAAGGAGAAATGTAATCATTATATTATCTCTAATATACTTCATCATCTTGATATATACATCATATATCAAGATTTATACATCATATATCAAGATGAGTATATGCCAGTCCCTGATGGAGATGCTTTACCATGCACTTCTGCATGACTGTTTGCACAATTCCATTGCAACATTTTCTGCAGATCCTTAGTCTGTGGCCATTCACAAGGAAAAGGAGTGTATTTCCCACGCCATTCTTTGTCCAAAACAACTAAGTGTGCTCTCTATTTCAGCAAGCATAGGAAATTGCTTCCACTCATAAAAGTTGACTTGCCAGATAAAAATAAATATTTAGAAACCAGAAGGCTATTTCTAGGTTTTTAAAGTCCAGGTTGAGATCACCGAGTTGGCAGGCAGAAAAACTGGCTTGTTAAATTTATATATGGCATTAAGCTTTGAAGTCCTTTATGGAAATACTTATAATGATATTTATGTTTCTGGACAGGTTTTAGTAACATTCAGATAGAAACACCTTCTTGAATCTACTAGATGGCATCCAAACATAAGAACGTTACAGTCACTTCCCTGTGAATTACACTGCAAATATTAGTTTCCAGGATAGCTTTTCTTTGAGGCATTTTTTGTAGTTTCTAAGCTCACAGTAAGGTTTAGGGTTTTTTCCTGGACATTACAGATAATTCAAGGTTAAGTAAAGTGAGGTGCTAGTTTTACTTATCGTTACCTCGTTTGTAAAACAGTGAACACCAGCAGTTGTGTGCCTGTATTGAGTAACTGGCACCTTTAACACTTTTTTAAAGCCGTGAGCATTTAGCCTTCTTTCCAAACATTCATAAGTCCCCCTGGAGGTATTGACAGCCGGGAACAGGCCAGGTCTTGCAAAACGGCCTGCTGTGCCCTCTGGCCTTACCCCCCCTCAGAAGTGCTCCTTCTGCCTTGCAGCGTCGGTTCAGCGGGGCTCTGCAGACGCGCACACGCTCGGGAACGTGGGGACGGAGTTACCAAGCCCCAGCAGCTCAGCCCACCTCCGCTGTAGCCAGCCGCAGGGGTAACGCGGGGCAGCTAATCACCAACCTCGCAGGCAGGATCACCACAGCTACTGGGCTCTGATTTTTGATTTTTTTTTTTTTTTTCCTTTTTTATCAGAATTTATGTGACCAGCTATGTACCTGTTTCATACAAGGGGAAACCATGAAGTTTACCAGGGAAAACAGTGGTAAGAAAAGACATTGGCTGATGGTCTTTCCTGGCTTTTAAGTGTTGTGCTTAAGAAAATGTAAACAGATCTCTCTCTTCCCCCTCTCCCTGACCCAAACTCACTGAGAATCTAGAGCAGCTAATACATGCTTAGATCTATTGATTTTTCAAGGCCTTTTACCCTAGTTTTATGCGACATGAAGGCTTAGGAGTATATATAATATATAGTATAATACATACCACACTGCAGTATCTATTAATGAACTAGCAGTCAGTAGATATGCTCTAGCATATATATTTTACTTCAGGTGAACACCTGTAAACTGCCTCTTGCAACCACCTTGAGCAACAAAGATGTGTGCTGAGATATTCGTAGGGTCTTCTTAGAAGACAACCAAGTTTAAGCCCGTTGTTGCAGCCTCGATTTTGCAGATGGTGCCATGGCTGATGGAACGCTTTCCAGATGCTGCACGTAGCACTGGGTGCAGTGGATGCAACAAAGCTGCTGCCATCATGACCAGTGTGCTCCTGCACCAACCACCTCCATGCTCCTGTTCCACCCGTTCCAGGAGCCTTAACAGGAGTGTCCTACACCCCTGTACAAGTGCTGCCTCAGAAGACTTGCAAGCATCCAACCACTCATTCTGCTGGAAACATCTGCTGAGATCGGTGCAAATCGCAATAAAGATGTGCACACACAGAATTGCTGTGCAAGTAAAAAAAAAATATATATATATATATATTACTGGTTTTAGAAAACTCAAGAACTTTTGTAAATTTTCAGGAGCTCCATCTGCTGGCAGTATTTGCATCTATACTGCATCCTCATAAAACTTTAAGAATAAATGTTCAGTCTATTGTAAAGCTCACAAGTGTTTTTGTAATATTACCTCTTTAATTTTAATTTCAGGAGCTGCCTAAACATTTGGCTAGTTTTATTCTTGTTTCCAAGAACCTGTATATCAAGTCCTTCGAAACCCAATTTTTTACTGATGCTGGTTGATGATCTTGGTATTGGAGATGTGGGTTGTTATGGCAATGATACAATAAGGTAAGAATGTATTCTATAAAATAAATTATCCCTTCCTGGTGAATTTCAGTGGAAAAAACACTGATGACACGTAGTATTAGAAAATTCATTATTAATGGATTAGTTTATCTAGATACACTTATTTTCAAACAATGTAAAAAAAAAAAAGTTCTACAGTAATTTCTCCCGGAGTAAAAATTATACAGGCATGCTTGAGCAACTTTCTTCTAATCTTCAGCATATACATTCAAGAACTTTGCCAATCTGTCTGTGCACTGTGGTTGTCAGACAATTTATAAGTTTCTACAACTCCAGGGTTCAAATGTAAAGGACTGAGATTAGGATTTAATATCAGTTTACAACTCTAGTAGGCTTCTTATGAAATGAAAGCTCAGTCTGTGTGCTATATTTATCCACAGTGCAGTTATCAATCTGTATATACATTGATTGATAGAATGACTGTATCTATATCCTGTGTTTGCTCTAACCTATTATAGACTTAGAAATTGTGTTGTACTGTATCTACTAATGGGATCTTTTTCACTATGTTGCACGAGCTTTTGATATGGGATAGAGCTGAAAGACCTTTTTTTTTACTCTTTAGTCATTAATAAAAATGCATCTATCCACAGAAAATTCCTTTCTAGGTGGTCAAGATAGCTCAAAAAACATAGAACACTGATTTTTCCTAGTTGAGTTGTAGATAAACAGAGAGTTTTGTAAATTTGATGGTGATATCCTTGATAAAACTAGGAGGAGCAGGATACCATAAACTTCTGTGTAATACATTTTTATCAGAAATGGGATTTTTCTCTTTAGGACCCCTAACATTGATGGCCTGGCAAAGGATGGAGTGAGACTTACTCAACACATTGCTGCAGCTGCTGTCTGTACTCCAAGCAGAGCAGCTTTCCTGACTGGCAGATACCCCATCAGATCAGGTCCGGCCTCTCCCTGATGGTTCAGTGGAGTTTGTCTAGCCATTGTTGCTATTAAAAATCCCCTTAAATAAACCATTTTAAAGACTAGTTAATCTAAGGATTTGGGGTCTCAGTGAGATGGGCAAAAATAAAGATGACTAGATTTAGTGATTGATTTCTATGGGAAAATCCCCACATAAAGCATATTTGATGTGGCTCAATGACAACACAGAAATGGATGAAAATCCAAACAGCACAAAGCACCCAGAGGCAGAATCATGAAGAAAAAAAAATGTATAAATACTATGTTCAATATTATTAAGGTTATATTAAGTAAAGTGTAATATTTTTAATATCCTGGCAAACTTTTTCATAGTGAAATGTGTCAGACTGTGGAATAGTTCTCAACAATTATGTTTTAAAACAGATTTACTTCAGCCATGTAAATTCATGACAAAACTTCAGCTTCAGCCACCACATATGGCAGTAATAATCGGTGTAGATCCTCTGATGTGATTCTGACTTTCTCAAGGAGAAATGTAATCAGGAACTGTACATTTCAGAAGTGTGTACCCCTGATTCTGTAAGCCTTTTGTTCTACATAAAAGTTATTTTCTTTTTCCCTTTTCTTTTTTAAATATTATATTGTGATAGAACTTTGGATGTAAGAGGTTGCCTAATGTCCAAGCAGGGCATCTTAGTGTCATTTGTAGACACCCCAGCGTAGCTGAGGCATCTGAATTGGACTAGAAGATAATGACATGGGACTTGGAGTAGACATCATTCTGGAGGTCAGTCAGAATATCCCAGGGTTTACTCAATCACTTATAAAAATGCACTAGGCTTAGGCAACGAAGTCCCGTTCATTAGAAAGAACAATCTGAGAAGACTGAAAATCTGAAAACTGGCTTGTATTATCTTAAAGACTGTTATTCCCCTCTAGGCATGGCATCTGGCACTCAACAGCGGATTCTCTTCTGGAATGGATGTTCCGGTGGGCTCCCACCAAATGAAACTACTTTTGCCAGAATACTCCACCAGCAAGGTTATTCTACAGCTCTTGTTGGTATGAGACATAGCAGCTTGCCGTTCTTCAAATAAGGCTGCTTCTCTAAATATTTTTCTTTGCCAAGATGTCTAGGATCAGTTAAACTGGAGTTTCTTGCATGCATAACTTTCAAACTCAGCAGGATTTTTACAAGGCCATCCACAAGCCCCAGTATCAGCACAACATATCTGATAAATCCAAAATGAAGATGTATGGAATACATAGATATACACGGAAAACAGAAGTAAATGCAAAAGAAAGAATCTTGTTTGCCCAGTACAGATTGATTTAGGAAGAACTAACAGAGATATATTCACTGATCTATTAAGTAGAAAAATGCTGTCTGCCAGTTGATACCCAGACACCACAGTGGTCTTAATTATATCTGGTGGCTAGATTTTCTATTATTTACTCATCTCGCTTATTATCGCAGTTAAGACTGTAAAAGTGCCTCATTTTCTGCGAAAAGAAACTGTCAAAAAAAGCTGAAAGTCCCATTGACTTCAGTGGGTTTTGGATCAGAATACACGTCCAGAAAAATAAAATCCTACTGACTCTTTGCTGATGTTGCCAGAAGAGTAGTTAAAGGCTGTGTCTTTCAAGCACCTCTCATTTTTAAGCTCTTTTTGATGTAGTCAAAGGTGTCATGCGCTTAATTGTAATTACTGTGGTTTTCACACCTCTGCTCAGCTCCAGCACACTGAGGTGTCATTTAGTTCCTAAACTGAAGTGAGCCTTAGTGATGCACCAGCTCCACACAAGGCTGTGCAAAGGGGTGAACCTTTCCCTGGCTCACTACAGTCTGGTAGAGCTTATGCTGGGCACTACACTCATATACAGGGGCACAGAGGTGGTTAGCAGTTTTCAGAAGTTATTTGTCTAGCTAATAGCCCCTAGGCCCATGGTTATAATCTGTCTGTCCTTCAGTGTCAGGATAATTACACTGCTCTGTCATATGACTACATTAAAATTCATTATTGGTGTGTGACATATTCTGATATGTCCAATTGTACGGGATAATTGGAATGGCCTATTTTTGCTACTCATTTTAGGATGAATATAGACACACAGAGCCAATATGTACAGCACCTTCTTCCTGAAATTTGTTCTTGGACTGTGAAGGTCAGATAGAACTTTTGTGTGAATTAGTTAATATTTATGCATTTAGCTGTTTCTTTTGGCACAAGGGTTTCTCCAGTTTCTCCCCATCAGTCTACCTGTTAATGAATGGCTACTTTATCATGTGAAAAATAATAAGCACCAACTACTGCAACCCTATTTGTTCTTATTCAAGGTGGTGTCTGAGCTGGACCGCTGACCTACATGGAATTTTAACAGATACGTGAGGAAAACCAGCTGTTCTAGCCAGATAAAGTGTCGATGCATGATTGCTGCCTGAGAACCTGTCCCCATTCCACACCAGCTCCTTCCTTGGCTGCACCTTAACCGAGCAGTGCAGCCAACCTATTAGAAATACACCCATGAGAAGCGATGTGGGATGTAAGATCTTTGTTTTATATTTTCAGGGAAGTGGCATTTGGGTGTGAACTGCCAATCCCGCCGTGACCACTGCCACCATCCTTTAAATCATGGCTTTGATTATTTTTACGGCATGCCTTTTACCTTGTTGAATGAGTGTCAAGGCACAGATGACCCTGAACTGGCCAAGTCTTTGCAAGATACGTATTGGCTTTACACGCAGATGATCATCCTTGCAGTGCTTACTCTTTTGATTGGAAAACTTACCAATTTATTTTCAGTAAAATGGAAAATAATCGTATGTCTGGCCATCTGTGGTATCCTGTATTTCATCTCCTGGTTCTCCAGCTATGGTTTCACCAAGTACTGGAACTGTATCCTGATGAGAAACCATGATATCACTGAACAACCGATGAATCTAGAAAAAACTACTTCTAATATGCTGAAGGAGGCAGTTTTATTCATTGAAAGGTAACCAACAAAAGTTGTATCATGTTTTAAAGATTTTTAAAAGTAATGTGATTACTGTGCCATACACCACGAGGTTAGGCAGCTGGCATGCTGAACTACCTGTCCTGATGCTGGCCAGTAATTTCTTGTTTTCTGGCATTCTCCTACTTGTTAGCATCTGACTGCAGTCCTTCATCTTACACATAGCTTGTCAGCTCCTCAGAAAAGGAAGATGATTTTTTTTGTATTTATGTTTTGTTCACCTAATACTGGCCAAGGACTGGGCCTTCTGCCAGTAGGAACAGATAAATTATCTTAGCATGATGAATGGACTGTCATAGAAAGTGTCATATGAAGTTAGTATTTTACAAACAGGAAGGTGATAGTGAGTTTTATTTTGTTTTCCAAAGGTGTCCTTCATTTACAACACTATCAGTAACCTCAGCTGGAACTGAACAAACCACTAAGTCTTTAAAAGTACTCATGCATGGAGTCTGGGCATATCTTTGAATAAGATGATACTATTTCTGTCAGGGTTTAGGGATCAGTTGGTTGTTTTTTTAAGGGAAATTGGAGGTAAAAAAATCCCTTCTGTAAAACTTTGAGCACAGATAATCTCAGGTTCCTAGGATATCCTGCCTGGCCTAATGTTAAAGGGATATGGTTACCCTGTGGGTGCAGTGTCATATCTGCCTCTTCCATGAGGATGTCTCAGATGCTCAGTGACATCCATGTTTAAGTACGCCAGTCCTATTCTCCTTGCCTCTGAGAGAGTGTCAGTCTTTTGTCTATGAACTTTCCGAGTCAGTTATTTAATGTCCTACACATGTCTAATTTGGATCCAGAAAAAGAAAGGGCCCATTGCTATTTTGGTCTTAATACAGAACCAACATCTTTGAGGAGTGTTTTAATCCCCTCTGTCTCTCAAAACCTCAAAAATGCAAAGATGTCAAAATCAAAAATTTTTGGTTTAGACCACAATAATAATAATTTCTATTGAGATAGTCACTACAATACCACTGTTATATTTTGGGTTGAGTGACAGTTTGCAGAGAAATTACTACTGTTTTCTTTTCTTTCAGAAACAAGCATAGACCATTTCTTCTCTTTGTTTCCCTTCTACACGTTCACACCCCTCTCATTACCACAGAGGAGTTTCAGGGAAGGAGCAGGCATGGCCTATATGGAGATAACGTAGAGGAGATGGACTGGATGGTGGGTAAGTGGCCTTCTTGAAGAAAATCATTTATTTGAAAGTGGAAAAGAAAGAAAAGGGGTGATCACAGAACCCCCTTTTTTGCATATGTCAGAAATCAGTGAACTTGCCTTGGATACACAGTTAGATTGCCATACCATTACCACACTTCTTTTTTTTCTTTAAAACGAAAGCTCAAACTTCTCTTGTGAGGATTTGTTCTTTTTCTTTTTTAGTTTACACGCTTCTGTGCTGCAGTGTTAAATGCAGTCAAATAATCAACTACGTGCTTGATCACGTCATTAATCAAAATGTATGACATTTCTCCAGTTCTGTCTAGTCTCAGAAGATGTAAGTGGTGCTGCTGCTGAATGTCACACTATACCGTGGTTGTTTTGTGTACTTGTTTGTCTTTATTGAAGAATAACCTTTGGAGCAGAAACCAGAACTCCCTCCTACACAAAAAGCCAAGTTTAAAAGCTATGGAGTTTCACTTAATAAACGGTGTGAAGTCAGTACATCTTAAAGACTCACTTAGGTCTAAATCTAGGCTCTAAGTGCCAATTAGGTTTAAAAAGACCTAGATTTAGACCTAAGCCTTACTTAGTTGTTCCTTCCTGCTTCAGTTGAGAGAGGGAGATAGCTACTGTTTGCATTTAGTCAAAAGTGAAGACCTTATTGACAAAATACTCACCTCCTGTCCAGGCCAAGATTCAGTTCCTGAATCTTTTCTTCCTGCAATAACCATATTTACAAAATTGTATTTTGAGAGGAGCCTGATTGCTTCTGATGGGCAGGCTGAGAACTCCTGCAAGATCCAGCTGAACCAGAGGACTCTGCTGCCATGTTCCTCTTCCAGATTTTGGGCACCAGACACCTTCAGGCACAGGCTACGCAAGTAGAGCTGGATGGCAGGAGTCCGTTGGTGTAAGGAACATGCCTTGTATAGGCCAAACAGGATGGCAGCTAGTGAGGACAGAAGTTTCCAGCAACGGACAGCTAAGAGATTTGGAGTCTAATTCAGAACCAGCATGCCTAGACTCAATCTAAACTCTTTTGGGGAGAAGGTGTCTATTTTTAGGTAAGGTAAATAAGTAGTTTGACCAAGGAGACACAAGAAGTTTGTAAAGAAGAGACTGAACAAAAGAGCCAATCACTGGCTTATGCTTTTTGCTTTCTTACTTCAGCTCTTGCTGCTGCTTCTGTAGCTATGGAAGCTGTTCTTGGTGAATATATTTGATGCAGAAGGTGATGAGGACAAGCAATCAAAGATAAATCATATTCTGTGTAAGCATTTGGTACTATCGGTACCAAAAACATTCCTTATGAAGTTAGGTTTGAATTACGGTCTCTGAAGTTTTTACCACTGACATCAGGAGAAGATTTTGGTTGATAGTATGCAGCCTGATCTCAGAGTCCCTGTTCAGCTCCTGGTGAGACACAGCAGTTTTCTGTGATTAGGAATCTAGGCAGCACTATTATTCAAGCTTTTCAAGGTGCTTGAAGCTACACAATGGAGATGAACCTTGACTCAGAATTCACAACAAAAAGCTGAGAGAGTATTCTGAATAGCTTGAATAAAAGGATCGTTCATTTAAATTATTTTCCAATTGGTTTTATTTTCCTGGTTTTTTAGACACCACAAACAAATTTTGGACACGTTCAGCAGCTTTCCATTGGGCTCTTATTGTATCCATAACGCAGGATTATTCTTTGCTTTGCTAGCAGTAGCTCATAACAGAACTCATTCAGGTAAATGCAGAGACTCAGTCTTCACTGAATTTCGAGTCAAGACCTGAAAAATCTGACTGCATCTCCAGACATAGTTATGACATTTTGCTTTTGTTTATAGGCAGGCTTCTGGATGTTATTGACAAAGAAGGCTTGAAGAATACCACATTCGTTTATTTTGCATCTGATCATGGAGGATCCTTAGAGGCTCACAGAGGAAACGCTCAGTTGGGTGGATGGAATGGGATCTATAAAGGTAAAATTTTGGTAGTGTGTACATGCATAAGACTTCTTCTTACAAAGAAAATGACAGAATAAAATACACCCAGATAGACTATATTTACCAAGAGATACCCTGGGATGATAATCTTGGATTGTAGGGCTGGAGTAAATTCAACACATCCACTATTCATCTTTCAGCACCCAGACAGGATCACTTTCTCCAAAGCTACTCCTGACAGCTGTATTGTTTAAACTATTCTTAAAGACCTTCAGTGATACCCCAGATAATCCCATTTTCATTGTCTGTGCTACTGGAGGTTTTTTCCTGGTGCCTACCTTGGATTTCCTTGCCGCAGTTTAAGCAACAGATCTTGCCTTGTTCTCTAATCTACAGAGGAAAGATTCTTCCTTTCCTCCTTGCAACAGTTGTTGCATGTCACCATGCATTTCAATGCTGTTATGATCCACCCTCATTCATCCTTTCTTTAGACTCCAGTACACTTGTAGCCCCTTCTAGTTCCATGTTGTCTTTTAAATATTGTGAGCATACTATCTAATCCATAACCTGAAACATTGCTTGAAAATGTTGCAGTATCATAGAACATCTCATGTTGGAAGGGACCCATAGGGATCATCAAACCCAACTCCCTGCTCCTCACAGAACTATCTAAAACTAAACCATATGACTAAGAGCGTTGTCCAGACACTCCTTGAGCTTCAACAGGCTTGGTGCCATGACCACTTCCCTGGGGAGCCTGTTCCAGTGACCAACCACTCTCTCAGCTGGCTTTCTTCTAATGTCCAACTTGAACTTCCCCTGCCACAGATCCAGAATACACTGTTTGGAGTCCCACTTGAAGCATCCTTCTGTTTTCCATAGTAGACAATGATCTATGTCAACACTGCCAGATATCATGATGATTATTTTCTTGATTTAGTTTTCCAGTTTCTCATCTGTCATACAGGTGTTTCTAGACACTATATGACTGGCCTGCAACACAGTGTCAAAAATTCTGTGGAAATGAAGATCTATGGTATCTCTTGCATGTGCTCCCTCCAGACTGCCAAGCCTCAAAAAGCCACTGTGACAGCTTGGGCAGCTCGGCACTTACTGTATAATGAAGACTGAAAACAGCTCCCATCCCTTATTTCCCTACAGAAGATTCAGGTGCCTTGACCTTGCTCAGCACCAAAATGCACATTTTCTAGTAGTAAGTTACTTGATGAGACACACAAACAAACAATGTTTGATACAGCTGGGATCTCATTCAGGAACAGTCCTAAATGCTAAATTAGCCTTCAGTTCTGGATATGAAGCTTCTATGCCAGTAGCAGATGCAAAAAGGCCAAGGGGCTCACTTCAATAACTCAGAGCCTAACTTAGGGAATTCGGTTCTACTCACCTAACACAAGTTTATTAGTAGCAGGATAGCCTGGAGAGGAAAGGTAGATGTGATTAGGCAGAGATTTCTGTATGAGAGGACAATGATGAAGTCATGCCTGCTTAAAGAGGAGACAAGGAGATAAAACATCAGTTTAGATATTAATAACAGAAAAGCATTCCCATTTACATCCACATACAACAGAACAGGGGACATCCCAGTGAAGCTAACTACCAAGATTAAAAGATTTAGTTTAATTCAGAAATATCTGTAGAACTCACTGCTGCTATTGCTAACAGGATATTAAAAAACAATATGGATAAGCCACGCTTATGAATAATGAGAGCAGCCACTAGCGAATAACAAAGCACGAGATACCGTTATCTTACATAGCACAAAGATTATTGCACAAGCAGCTGGACTTGCCCTGTTTATAATCCATCACGCCACCCTGTCAGCCTTTAACGCCAAGCTCTGGAACCTTGCCTCTCCGCTAACTACGAGCACACCTCCTCCATAGCAAAGTCTGGCATTACTTAGCAAAGCCACAGGCTAGTATAAACCACTATTCAGCTGCTGATTTATTAGCTGAGCTGATAAGCTAGCTTCAAGTTTTCTTTGCCAACTTTCCTATAATACTTTCCAGCAATGACTTGTCATTCCTGCTCTCTTATTGCTCCTATCAGGGCCAAAGGTCATATAGGTACCTGAGCTTCGCCGTTCTGCAATTTTTGTTTTCTAACTGGACCCTCAACTTGGAGTTCTGGCTTTAAACCACATTGTTTCATTAATATCCCTATCCTTGACACCTATAATTCATATCTGTAATTAGTTAATCGTTCTCAGTTTGATATACTATTCAAAATATTTTGACTTGCAAGAGAGCCAATGCATGGAGGAGAGAATTTAGAAGAAAACTAAAGGAATATAACAGAAACCAAGCTAAGAAGGACTCTTTGGATTATCTCAAGACAATTTTAACAGAAATGTAGGTGGAAAGTCTTCATCACTGCCGCATATTCAGAGCCCTCCCCTATTTACTGCACAGGTTCTGCACTATTCCATTCGGGACCCCCCCCTCGGAGCATCCCTGGGACTGTAAACTCCTGGAGGGCAATCAAACATTATCCTAATTGCCCTCACTGCTCTCCAGGACTGCAAATCATTTTGTAATGTTCCTGCAGCCTCTGACTGTGAACTGATAGCCAGGCTGGCCCTGTGTTAATCCCCCTTCGTCGCGCACCAAGTGGGACTGCAGCCTCTATTCCATTGACACCGAGTCAGATTTTGCTTTGTATTAATGACAGACTTTTTTCTTGGGCCTGTTATTAGGGAGTGTGCAGATTATTCTTAGACCTGACATTCAATTAAAATTGTGGGTCAGAATGTCAGACGGTGGAATTGTTCCTCTTCTGCCAGAAACACTGCTTAGTATTGGGTTGCTGTATGTGCCACCCAAGAAAGCAGTGTAAAATAAAGAGCTTAATAATATTTATTTTTGAAAAACAGAATTTGCACTTTAATCATTCTACTGTTCTCCAGGATTTAGTGTGTTTTCATTAAAGTTATTTAAATATTCTACAAGTTTTTAAACCTTTTATTATGCAAGCATAATAAACATCTAATATCTTTAACTCCTTTAAATTTTTTGGTACTTTTCCCCCCTACTTCTCTAACAGGTGGAAAAGGAATGGGAGGCTGGGAAGGAGGGATCCGTGTCCCAGGAATAGTTAGATGGCCAGGAGTGTTGCCTGCAGGGACAGTTATCCATGAACTGACAAGCCTTATGGACATCTTCCCAACAGTGGTTCACCTGGCTGGAGGAGCAGTGCCTCAGGACAGGTACAAGGGTGGTTTCATAAACCATATTTGCTTCCCTTTCTTGATTTAGGTAGAAGGTGACTACATATGTTGTGCATCTTAACAGCCACAGGTTAAATTGTGTTCGTTTCTTAACCAGTCAATTCTCTAGTTCGCTTTCTGTGTAGCTTTCCCCATCTTGGCTGCTCGAATGGAAAAGGCAAAGGAAAACAGTATATTTTATCGAGGGTCATTTAGCTAATTCAGTTTTCTAATCACTAAAAGGCAACCTGGTTGATTTGTGACACTGGCGTGACTGTAAGAAAATAAACAAAAAGCCCTCTTTTAATCTTACTTTTTATGAAAAATCCACAGACACTCACAACGTTGGTTGGTCCTGTTAGAGTACTAGCACAGGTCTTTTCCAAGACTAGAAATCCTGTTTTTTCATGAGTAGAGAAGGTGGAGAAAATGGCACACGTCCTGCATTTGGTTGCCAGTACTGGAGAAGTAGCTTCCTCAAAGAAAATGATTTATAGCATCTATGTTAGACTCCTCTGAAGAACATGAGAAACGGTGGGTGGTTAAGCCATTTGAGCAAAAAGCATAAAAGTACTGGTGGTGTGTAACTAAACTGTTAGTCAATGCAGCAAGCAGAGTTTTTTGTTTAGTTTATTTTTTTTTTTGTCTTCTTTTTATAGAATCCTCAAGCTCATATTGCTATCAGTGACTTCCATTTCAAGGAGCAAAATTAAAAGCTGTGAACCATGCCTTCACTATGGTTACCACTTACTCTCAGGAAAATTACAGTGATGGTAACTTACCTCCCCAGGCAGGATGTGTTAACTAGCTATAATTGCAAAAACTGCTAGTAACTGCTAATCACCGGTCTCCACCCATCCACTCAATTAAAAAATCTCAGGGCTCATTAGCTAAACAGTAGCTTGGTTTAGAAATTACACTTGAAATACCTAATGCCGTATACATGGAGAGTGAGTACTGCTCCTGCTCCAGCTGCAGACTGAAATTCCTAAGCAGCCTGGTGACTGCGGTCCTCTCCATCAGGGTAATCGACGGGCGCACCTTGCTGCCTCTGCTGAGGGGGACAGTTCAGCGCTCCGGGCACGAGTTCATGTTTCACTACTGCGGTGTGTTTCTGCATGCAGTGCGGTGGCACCAAAAGGACAGTGAGTACAAACATCCCCCTCCCCTGCAGATCAGAGGTGATGTGATGACCTCTAGCTTCCAACAGAGTATCATGTAAAAACATGGGTGCACGTATGGAGGAAGTTTATTGCCTCAAATGCTCACTTCTGCGAGGTGAGTTAGCTGTCCTTCCTTGCTGGAGATGAAGGGGTTCGCTTCCTGGGTAGCACAGCTTCAAGAACCTCCCTGCCATTGTGGTGTTTCTATTGCTTTTGCTGCAAAAGCGTTTGGGATCAGCTTTAGTATAAGATTGAGGAAGGAGGAACTGCATGCACAAGGTATTTATCTTAAACAGTAGTTAATTTGTTTTCAAGAGTGCTATCTTATTTATTTTTTTTTTCAGCTGTGGCATTAGACAAGCTGACTGCAGCTGAAATGCTTTCCTGAGCTTTCCAACAATCACCTAATCTTTCCTGATGTCACCCTCCATTACAGTGTAAAAGAGGTTGGTGACTGGTGGCTGTGTCCTTATTCCTGCTCAGAATGGAGGATGGTATTTGTGTGACCAAACACATATACCTGGATCTGAGATTGTTGTTTTACAGTCACTGGAAAGAGACAGATGTCTACAGGGTGCGACTCACCTCCTTCTGATTAGCACATCTTGGCTAGATCAGTCAGGCATCTTTCTCTCCACTGACTAAAAAGGGAGCTGAGACTGACCATATCAGATATAAAAATCACCCTCATGTTAAAGTTAGTTGATCTGAATTGCACCTTCTGTGACTGGATGATGTGACAGTAAGTGTAAAGTTGATGAAATCGTGGTGATGTCATTTTATCCTCTTTTTCTTTTTCTTTTTCTTTTTCTTTTTCTTTTTCTTTTTCTTTTTCTTTTTCTTTTTCTTTTTCTTTTTCTTTTTCTTTTTCTTTTTCTTTTTCTTTTTCTTTTTCTTTTTCTTTTTCTTTTTCTTTTTTCTTTTTCTTTTCTCTTTTTTCCTGGAGAAATACAGAAGTCAATGGAGTAGACTATGCCTACTCATTTTCCCATCCTTTAGATACTTGAATGATCCTCTAATTTCTGTTTTGCTTTCCCTGCCTGTGAAGTGAGAGAATTACAGAGTTCTTGAGAGACTGCAATTAGAGAACAGCTAAAAATGCTAGGGCATTCCCCCACCAGCAGCTGTTCACACTCAGCTGGTGCACTGACAAGGAGCTGGCTGTTCACAGAGCACTTTGAGTGCTGACCGTAGGGTGAGATAACCTTAGGCAGCCCCGCAGGAAATCATTTTTATGTCACAGTGTTAACTGGGTGATTGTTCTCGTGCCCCCTTACATTTCCTTTATGATATTTTCCGATACAATGACAGTATTAAGTACAGATAGTATCACGCTAAGAATCTACTTGCTGAGTGAACACGTGAAGACTACAAAACTTGTACTTGCAAATGTTTCAAAATTGAATTCTCTGTTCCCTTAGATACACACACACACATCGAGATATGAAGCGTACCAAGGTAACAGCTGAGAACTTTGCTCTCTTTCTTGTTGGCATGAATAAATACATAGCAGAGTTGCAACAGCAAACTTTTAGTCATGCTGCCAGTTTAACCCTGAGGTCAGTGCCCTCACCAGCACCCCAGTTTGACAGCAGCATGGCTCCTGGAAGTCACTGAGCTCAGCTGGCAGGAAAGAGGGAGGAAAGGGACTAAGGACTAAGTGTGAGGAATGTGATGCCAGGTGCTGTGGTGAAAGTTTGGTTTTGGTTTCCTGATCCCCAAAGATAAACCTGGGTACTTCACTGAAGGAGAAATGTGTAAGCTATACAAGCCATACAGTACCTGAGGAGCTAATCCCTTCTGGGGAGACCCAGAGCATCCCATGCACCGCTGAAGGAGGTTTATGGCAGAAAATACTAAGCACAAGGGTGTTTCATGAATCCAGTTCTTCTACGGAGTGGAGCATCTTCAAGCCTTCCAGGGAAGGGTTGGTTTGCTTGGCCGAGCTCCCTCGGCCTTGCTGCTTCCCCCGAGCTGGGGAGTTGGGTGTCCCGATACCACCCTGGCTGTGGGAGGGAACCACACTTCAGGTGCTCAAGGCCAACACTTTGGCTGTCTCAACTAATTTCTTATCTAAGGAGACCAGGACTCGATTCATTTCTGCGTTTGGGCACAAGCAAAAAATGTCATCTTTAAGTGAGTGACATGTGTAAATTACCCCTCTGTATCTTTGCTCTCCCTGTGGAAATGTGGCCTCTGCACTAATTATCAATCAAGATTGGTTGGACCAACCCTCCTAACCTTTAGCTTTAACTTTAAGCACTCAGTTTTAGTTAGGGAGTATCTCCTTCTGTGGCTGTCATGGTGTGTTTTTTTTTTTTTAGCAGCACTTTAACATGATTAAAATACAGGAGAAAAAAAAAAAAAAAAAAAAAAAAAAAAAAAAAAACACTGGAGGATGGAGTGGCGTGCCCCTTCCCTGGTGAGCACAGTAGGCCAGCGCCGGAGAGCAGGGGCAGCCCCCACCTCCCGGGGCCCGGCGCTTCCCGCCCGCGGCGGGGCAGGGCCCGGGGCCTGAGGGCGGGGCCGCCCGCGGAAGCCGCCGCCAGGGGGCAGCGCGGCACCGCCAACCGCCACCCCGGCCGCCTCGCGCGGCCCGAAGGCTCCGGAAGGCCGCGGCTGTCGCCAGGTGAAATAAAATCAAGGTTTCCCCCTCAGGGCTCTGCGGCGCAGCTAGCTGCTCCGCTTTCCGTGTTCACAGCTCGGGGTGCCCTGTTGTGCAAAGCTACCCGGCGCCTGTGGGGGTGCAGAGGGAGCGCGGCCAGGCCCCCTCGCTCCCCCCCCCCCCCCCACACCCCGGCTGAGGACGGGGGCGTGTTGCCCCGGCGCCGGGAGCCCTCGCCCTGGGCAGCGGCTGCGTTGCCAAAAAAAAAAGCGCTGTGGCCACCTGAACCGCATACCCTGAGCTCCTCGACCAAAGGTTTTTTTGCCTTTGGAGCGAGGCCGGTGTCCCAGGGCGCGCTGGGCATGGAGCCCGCGAGGGCCTGCGCTTGGCAGGAACCCCAGAGTCACTGAATGGCTCTGTACCCAGTGTCGCAGCAGACCAGGGAGTCCGAGACTGACCAGGGGAGCACAGATCTTAGAGCTGCCCCCAAAGAGGAGAGAGACCACGGTTCACCTGACGCAGACCAGTGCCAAGCTGGTCCCACCCCAGAACTGCCGGTAGCTTGAGCCCATTCGCCTCTCCACGTTACCTAAAGTGGAACAGTGGTCAGAAACTTAAATCTCTTACGCGTCTAAATCCATCACTATCCTTAGAGATCTCTCTTCATTTCTTTTTAATACCTATTTTTTTTTCCGTACAAAGAAAGCTTTGTCTGACTGCAGAGACTCCTGGAAAAAAATTCCTACTGGAGGAGTCGTACTGCACTTTCCTAGTGAAAGGCTAAATGCATACCCCATCGAGGGATGAGTTTGAAGAACTGCTTTTGGGGTTAAAGGACTGCTGTTCTCCTCACTTCCCTCTCACTTCTTGTTCTCCTAGGGCACAATTTTAGTTCAGAGCAGGAGCGTGCTTCTCAAACATACCCACCCACTGTGCTTCGGGCTACGTTGTAGAATGGGCTCGGAGATCATGACTATAGTTTAGCTGCAACTAAACTGAAAATTAGGCTCCAGGACCATACTGAATATGCTCTAATCACTAAAAGATATAATGTAGGTGGAACCAGACAAGAGTTAGCCCCCAGTAAAACACCCCCGGACAAACACAGCATGGATGCCAAGCCATCAATAACTGTTCTGCTCTACACATCAGTTGCTAACAAGCCACACTACCTGTAACATAGACACAGATACAATAGGCAGATGCAAAGTGTATTTTGCGTTCCTGTGAAGCCACACGCACAGCCAGATCTCCTATGAGTGCCCTTCTACAATTTTTCCCATTGAACCACAGCTGCTCATGGCAAGGGGGGTTGAAAACAGTGGGATGTTCTGACTATGAAAGACTGGTTAATCAAGTGTTGCCGTGCGGCTCGGCTTTCGGCCAAGCCAGAAATTCTGATTCTTTGCTCCAACTGCCATCCCTTCTGATGGGGCTGACAGAAAGACTCTGGTTTAGCTCATTTGCAAGTATATCACGTTCATATTACATATTTATTGTCTGTTTACTTCTGTCTGTTGGACAGGCTAGATATGAAGCCATTGTGTCTTGATGTCACCCAGGCAGGACCCATCAATTAAGCCCTTCACTGAAGCCAGAAGAATATTTTGTCTGTATGCTAGAGTCCTTTCCTCTACCACAGCACAATAAGGCTTATTAGTGACAGCCCATTTCTTTCTGCTTGTTAAACTGATTGATTGTTACCAGATGGGTCTGTGAGATGTTTGGATTGAAGAAGCAGGTTTCCTTTCCCTTGGACATACTATATTAACATGTTGCCCTAAAATTCACACACATCCTTCAAATTCTGTCAGAGCTACTTCAGTAGCAAATTGCATATCCCTCTTTGCCTCTTGGAGATGAGTGAACCCCCTGCTGCTTCCACCAGCACTGATTTCTAGCACTTTTTTTTTTTTTTTTTTTTTCTTTTATCCTGCTGTAATCCAGCTGCCTACTCAGCTCACACCAACACAGGTTAATTACAATCAACCTCACTGTATTCTTCAGAATGAACTAACAAGGACCTGGCTCTCTCCCAATCTGCAGCTCAAGTAATTATTTACAGCTATGAAAAGTGAATTTAAAATTTTGCAGAATCAGAACAATTCTCCTCAGACACTCTACACTCACCACTCCAAATTGCCATACAGTGTAGAAGTTATGCAGAATTCAGCTCAACTATTTATGGAAAAGAATGACTCCTTAGTTTGGTTTTCCTGAACCTCGATCACAAATTCCTACGTATAGACCAGTCTACTTGTCCATCTCATACTTCTTTATTAAATGGTCATTTTAGCAATATCACAGTAGCACTCGGACTTGAGCCAGCTAATCAGAAAAATGGATATAGCCCAGAGAGTACTTATTTAACTCCTCCTAACAGGTACCTATGCTACCTGACCCGCAGATGTAAGACCCAAATCTCAGGGAATATGACAGAGGATGCTCGCATTTGTGTCACAAGGCAAATGCTGTTTTATTCACAAGGCAGGGAAAAGTAGAAGGATGTGGAGCACATCCCAGCCAGCAGCACAGAGCACACCCAAACAGACCCAAGGAATACCTGTCCTTAGTAAGCCTTCAGGAAGTGAGACCATTTCCATTAAGAAGTCTACTTCCTACATCCTTTCTCTCCCAATTTTAGAAATGGAGATATCCAAAATCTGTAACATTTCTAAAAGTATTATGCCAAAACATTTCAGAACTATTGAGGCATCATCCCTCCACTGAGGTGCAGCAGCATAGCCTAGCAGGTCGTGGAAACCGTGGGGTGAAAATAAATAGATACAGAGCCAGCCAACCAGCCAGCAACTGGAGATTCTAAGCTAAAAGATTACCTGAGCCTTAATATCCGTTATTTGCTCCCCCTCACCTTTTAAGATGTTTTAAAATTTTATTTATTAACAAAATATGTTCTAGCAGTAGTGACATGACAGAGACAGAATAATAAAGCTTCAGGCTCCAGTCATGGAGAACAGCTCCAAGGACAAGAGAAGGAAAGTTCAGCTGATTCCACTGAACCAAAAAGAAAATGCCGTATAGGGACAATGCAGTGGTCAGCTATTTGTGCTCAGTACATTACAGAAGTGGCTCCAAGTGTTGAATGACCCCTTTCTTCTCCTCTCCTTTTTTCAGATACAGTATCTAACTTCTGTCTTATTGTTGGGCACATCCTTCCCTCTGAGTTCAGCACAGTGCTTTCTAAATGTGAGGTGAGGAATAGGGAGGAAGAGGAGGAGGGAAAAGGAAGGAAAATCTGTTGAACTGCATTCAGATTTAATCTTAGCCATTTGTCATTTCTTCATTACAAGTTACAGACCTGCACTTATCCAGCGGTCAATACTTGATAAAGTACAAGCTCTAAAGCTGCAAACTAGTTGCCTTCATCGCGTTAACTTAAAAACTAGACTGCAGATTTTATTGCTTTCATGGCCTGCAATTGCTGCATTATTTGAAAGCGTGCTGGAAAGTGAGCATGGAACTGAGCTGTGATCAGTTTCTGCCCAGGTGCCCTCTTGGCACAGATGTAGAGAGCCAACAGAAGAACCACCTACCAGTACCTGCACCCAGAAATCGGGGGCTACAGTCTCCATTTCCCCCACAGCCAAGAGGTGTGTGGAGCTTTGAAAGGATCCCAGAAAGTGGCAGGGACTCCCTCTGCACCCAAAATATTAGACCTAACCATCCACAAAGTATATATGGCTCTGCACGTACCCAGAGCCCAGGTGTGCCCATGAGCCACAAAAACCATTCTGAACCCCTGCCAGCTCCCAAAAGGCCCTTTCCCCCATGCATGACAACCACGACATAAGCTTGCCCTGGGAACAAGCCAGACTATCACTTAAAACGTGAGACCTTTCCTGCTCCTGATGCCATTAAGCTGTTCAAATGTGCTTCTTCTGCCACAGGTGGCACCATATGGAAAGCTCACTACGCCACTCCAGTATTCCAACCAGAAGCTTCTGGGGCCTGTTTTGGGAGAGGAATTTGCCCGTGCTTTGGGGATGGTGTAACCCAGCATGACCCTCCGCTGCTGTTTAATCTCTCGCAAGATCCTGCTGAGGCAAATCCTCTATCAGCTGACACCGAGCCTTTGTTCGACACGGTAATAACAAGAATAGGAAAAGCTGTAGAAGAGCATCGCCAGACACTGACTCCGGTCCCACAACAGCTGTCTCCTTACAAGAATATATGGAAGCCATGGCTGCAGCCATGCTGTGGCACATTCCCGTTCTGTTGGTGTGATGAAGAAAACAACAAAGCAGATGGCATACTTTAATACCAAAATCAAAGTACGGTTAGCTTTAAAAAAGCTGATAGTTTTTACATTCACATGGCTGCAGTCATACAAAGATACTGAGTCAAATTACGCTGGAATAACCAAAAGGGATTTTATTGTTGCCTTTTATTCAACCTTTTCTCTTACCTGCAGAAATTTATAAGCCTGAAGTTTAAAAGAAATTAAAAATGCTCCAAACATATTCCACCTATGGTTCACCTGTATAATCTATCCTGCAAGTTCATAATTCTGAATCAAATACCCAAATAAATAAAACAAAATTTCTTTCCTTACTGATTTTCAACTCAAGTAAATTATGAATGACAGGAAAGCCAGATTTAATCGCAGCTGTTTGAACGGGTAATATGCTTGTTAAGGCAACAGGGCTGAGCCCAAGAGGGTATCTCTTATCTTTTTAATGAAAAAGCTGCCCTGTGTTTAAAAGCACAATTGCACATTTAATTTGGAAACTTACCAAACCACATTGGCCCCTAAGAAATAAACCCTTACTAATTCATCTGAACATGCATTTATCTATCATGCAAGAATTCCCAGGAAAAACTGAACTGACAAGTATGTTTTAAAAATTAGGTAGCTAAAATGATCATCTCAAGTTCGGCAGTGAAGCATCTAGCTATTCTGAAATGAACTACTAAACCACAGCAATTCCTACTGACATACATTTTCCGTGTCGTTGTTTCACTGGCGAGAGCACTGAAAATCATCACCCAGCTGCCTTGACAAGATAGATCCCAAATTGCCCGATCTGTGAGACCAATTCATAAGCTGCGTGTCCCACTTGAGCGATAATGCCCCTGATTTCATAAGAGTGCTATTAAGCTCTGTGAAGAATGCGTTTTGTTTTGTGAGACAGCACTTTGCTTTCAGTAGGTGTTAAAAAATTCACCACACACACTAATCACTTCAGTGTACATGTCATCTTCTTCATGCCAAATAAGTGTGTCAGCACTCTGTGCAGTCATTAGGAAAAGGGAGGGAATTAAAATATCTAATCCTCTCTTGCTGCCCTCCAGTTAAATTAATCTCTCAATATATAATCCTAACCATGCTCTTGCAGGGTTTTTGTGTCAAATCCGATTTTTAAGTGAAGGTTCCTGCGTTTTATGCTTCAAAAAAAGTAGGTTGTGTGCCAGAGACTCAGACTCAAACGTCTAAGCCTTCCTGAATGCTGTATATTCACTTCTACCACACAGCTAAAAGTCACCGAGATTTCAGAAGGAACAAGGGATGGTAAGAGCAGCATAGCAGGTGCTTCAGGTGACTTGTATCCTTAAAGCTAGCTGCCTTGCAGCTCTCTTCAGTACCGAGGTTGTCCCCATGTGTCATTTTTTGCCTCGTAGAAACAGGAGGAGATAAGGTGGCCCAAGGCAGCTGATAAACCCAGAGCTGATAAACCCAGTGCTTCCAAGAGAGCTCCTGGCTTATACACCCCCACCCCCCCCCCCGATGGTATGTCATCAGTGTGATAAATTGTTGTTATTTCGCTTCTAAACAGCACGGGTTGTGACCATGATGCAGCATCAAACATGTCTCCAAAAAGCTGACCGGGCATTTCTTCAAGTTATTTGCTGTTTTACCTTTCCTCTCAAAGGTCACCAAGCAAGTCAGGTGGAAATTATTCCACGTGAATCAAAGGGCTAATCTGACAATGAACTGATAGGACACATCAATGTCAGACTTGACAGGAGTATCTAAAACCACATTTGTTCTTACTGCTTGATAGCATTTAAATCCACATCAGCATTGCTAAGAACTTGTCACAAGATTTCACATTTTTCTGTGGCTGACAGGGATTGAAACCAGAGCAGCTGGATTTTGCTGGATTCGTGCGGAAAGAAAAGAGCATAAAAGACCGTGCATTTTAAAGCCAGTTCGGCGATTCAGAGATGGAAGAGGAATCTTATCGCTCAGTTGGGGAACAAAGCCGAAAGCTGTTCCCCGGGGTCAAGCCAGTCAGTTCAGTAACACCTAAGTTGCCAGTTAAGCATGAGGATAAGCTTTTCGTCACCTCCCCTCACTGCCCCCCTCCTCACACCCCGTTCGTACACACGAACATGCCCTGTCACAGACAAGGCCACGGTTAGAGCCTTTCCCAGGGGATGGGAAGGTGTTCCAGCACCCACGCAGCACGCAAACACAGGCCCAAGCTCCTGCTGACAGACTGGGAAGCCCAGCACATTGGCAAAACCCCCGAACTCCATCTCCAACCACGCTATCGACCCAAGTTTAAAGCCAGGCTAAGAGCTAGCAACGTGAACGAAGCGCGCTTGGATTGGCTTACACCGCATCCATCACGCAAGCCTGCCCTTCACCTCACAGGACAAAAATCCCCCCCGTATAAAAGTAAACATTAAACATTTGTGCAACGCCTCCCTCCTCTGAAAGGCAAAGTCGGTAAGCTGCTGCACAGAGGTCAGATATTAAGGACTCATGAATGCATCTGCTGCCTTCCTGCCATCCAAACACAGGTAATTTCATCTTGGCTGGCATCTGTGGAAAGCCAGAGGGGCTTTTGGACAGGAGGGGGAGGAAACAAACAGGCCCGGCAACATAGAACAACCAGCTTTTTGTCAAATGCCTGTTCCGAGGCCTCAGCCAGGCAGAGGGAAAGGGGCTCTCCCTACCCCGAGAGAGGGGAGGGAAGGAAAAGGGCAGACTGCGCACAGAGGTAATCCGCAGGGGGCAAGGAGAACCAAGTAGTGGGAAATCACTGACTAAGATGCACAGCATCACTGCAGAAAACACGGGGGGAGCAGGAGGCAATGCCATTTTCAGTCCTAAATGCCTTTCACTGTATCTGAGGCTAAATGTATCTTAAAAGATGCAACTTTTGAGGAGACCGTGGTAAGCAGGGGAAGGAGGTAAATTGTTTTACCTGTTTTCTGCAGATCCTAGCCATGGAGTGGTTCCTGTTCTCTTTGTATACACTCTACCTAGAGCATGCAAGCTCTGCACAAGCTATTATTCTGATCTCCTGGGAAATTATATCCCCCATAAGGCTGGTGAAGCCAACATCACACTTAACCGCTGTTCTGGTCCACACTTCCACATAAAATGCATTAATAGGTTAAAAAGCTATTAGAAAAACTGTTTGCATTTGAAGAATTTATTTCTTTCAGTATTATTAAGTCAGTCACCTAGATTTGCTTGAAAAATCATCTATAATAATCTTTTGCAAAATATATGAATGTACGAATAAAAGCTAAATTATATGTTTTCTCCCTTCTTTTCTCATCGTCTCTCCCTTCGTAGAAGGGAACAAGCACCACATAAAATGGCTTGTTGGGAAAACCCGAGACAACTGGCAAATCTCCAAGCCAGGGCTAACCATAGGAGAAAGGGCCTACACGTGGTTAAATACAGACAACATCGAGAGGGAAGCATTACTCTAACAAATGAAATTTGTTTTTACTGAAGGAGCTGTGGCTGAACTGTTTGACATCTGTGTTGTACGAAGCTGACTTGCATCTAGTTGGAACATTATTAAATAACATTTGGAATTGCTGCATTAGATTGACTCAACAAAATAATTAGTGAGTCTCACAGCAGTAAGACAATAAGCCTCTAAGAGATCTCACTTTACCGTGTTTAAATAGCAGACGTGTCACTTTGCTCCCTGCTGGGACCCAAGGGAATGCCAGCACATGAATCACAAAATCCCATCATTTGAGGATGCAAAATAATTGTGTAATAGATAAAATGAGAAAAGCAATTTGAGCTCAAAATTTATCCGGCTTGAAACTCCTGAGGACTCTGAATATATTTGGGAAGCACTTACATCAATGACCAAAAAAAAAGGAGTAAATATCCAAAAAACTTCTGCTCACAGCACATTAAAACACACACACACACACACATAGATAGATAGATAGATAGATAGATAGATAGATAGATAGATAGATAGATAGATAGATAGATAGATAGATAGATAGATAGATAGATAGATAGATAGATAGATAGATAGATAGATAGATAGATAGATAGATAGATAGATAGATAGTGTTGAACTGAAAAAGCATTGGAGGATTTCTGGAGAATGTTTTGATTGTAATGTTAAATCTAAACAACTCTGTAAAAATCAAATTTATTAAAAAACTAGTTTCTCTTTGAATTACTCTACTACTGTATTACAAAGATCTTTTGAAAGCAAGAATAAATATTAAAAAAAAAAAAAAAAAAACAAAAACAACACACAAAAAAACTAACCCCAAAACAAACAAGCCCATATTTCTGAGATAAATGGGGATACTACAGGTTCCAAACAACCTTGACTTCTGTTCTGCCATTTGTCTAAAAGCTGTAAGTAAAAGGTTTGGAAACACGAGGAATTTATGGAGGTTAAAAAAAAAAAAAAAAAAAGGTCTTTAAACTAAACAAAACATAAAACAGGCAGCCACCCACCACATGCAATTAGTACTAAATACTTGGAACAAAACTATAAGAAAGCTTTAAAAATAATATTCCTCTAAAATAAAACAAATCACCTGTTTCTGATATTACACATCTAAAGGAAAACTACCTATACTTATCATGGCTCAGAACTCTGTACGGTACCATAAAAGGGAGCAAGCACTTTTCCAAGGCAGTTAACATCATGCCATCCTGAAGTGGGAAAAGTATTAAAATAATCATAAGTGGGAGGCTGGCTCTCTTGGAATTTAATTTTTTTCTCCTCCAGTTTGTTGAAGTTGAAAGGGTTCTATCAACAGTCAAAGTAAAATTCAGGAAAAATGCTGCAACTGTATTTTTTTCCCTTATTCATAGCATATCATTGTCAGTCTTCTAACAGTTAGTTCTTACAGTGTTTAGAGTCAATTATATATAATTCTATTTTTTTAACTACCTTTGCTATAATTACAGTATGCTATTATTACAAGTTCAAAGTTTATACCAGGATGCGACGTTATTGCTTCAGTGTCACCTTTAACCCAGCACCAAATAAACTATTATTTATGACTCAGCCAACTTAGTATGAACAGAATTTCAGCTGAAGTGTTTTGCAACCAACGTACTGAAAATGCAGTCTACTTCAACGACTATTATTAACTGACTTGCATTTTTGCAGGCTTCCTAGGAATTGACTGCTATGCATTTAATATCATTTATAGGGCTGATTTAAAAAACAAAACCAAAACCCAAAACCACAGAAATAAAACGCCAAAATGACAATGAGAAAACTGGGGGGAAAAAGCAAACATTTTTTTCCCCATAGACTGACCTGAACACCTTTACACAAAGGTAAAAATATTAGAGATGTGAATTAAGAAAACAGGCCCATCTCATGTTATTTTCAAAGTCATAGGAATCAAACCAGTTTAGATTAACAAAACAACAGAATCAGATCCATTAAGGAATAAACAGGCACGCTGCAGATTTGTTTCTTCTGAACAAGTAGCTCTTTCAGGAGCATCATGCAAATGTCTAAAGCCACCTACTACTAACCCAGCCTCCCATTCAGGGACAGAAACATCAAGGTATAAAACTAAGCCTTTTTTCAAATACCAGCCTTACAAAACAACTGATGCAAGCTGACTGAACTAGAGAGACAAATAAAACTTCTTTCCCAAGAACAACCCAATCGGAAAGGTCCTTGCAAGACACCAGGCAATAAGTGGAACAGTATTTCAAGAACAACAGTCTCCTTTTCCTGTAAGTAGGAAAGCACTTTAACCCACATGTCTAAAATTTTGAAGAATTTTCTTTGTGGCACACCCACACTATCTCCTGTTTATACATGAAGAGCACCCAATAAAATTGTTGCATGGCAAATAAAATTGCCCTCTAAGTCTGGCTGTGAATAACTCTAAGCACATGACAGAGGAAGACTCAGCATGTTTTGTTTTAAAAAACAAGCTGTCCTCTTTAAATACAGAGTCTGCCACACAGCAATAGGTCAGAGTCTAGCCTTTCAAAATCCCCACAGCTGCTTCTCAGGTCACTAGGGCTTAAACAACATTGACAAAACTCTCAGTCGCACGCACGCGCAGACCAGCTGGTAAAACACCGTCAGTGGTTCCCATTTTACCATGCCATTTTTTTTTCCCCCCTTATATTTCATTGGGGTTGTTATTCTACAGCACTTTCAAAATTGCTGAAGTGAAAGTATGTCTAGTTTAGGGAGCAATGGTGCCACCAAAAAGCCTGCATTTCTTAACTTTCTTTACCCTAAAAATACCTGGGGCTGCACCACACTTGAACATGCAAGAATTTCTCGGGGAAGATTGCTAAATGTTTCTTCCAAGTCTTAGCGAACTTCAGCCCAGTGGTTCATGGCAATGTGCAGCCCGTAACACCCCCCAGACCTGCCGCCTGTGGCCCCAAAGATTTCAGAACGATGTCTGTGAGAGAAAAGCACTTGCAAATTCCGGATTCGTTCTCCCTTCTCACACTCCAGTGACAACAGTACTGTGCTCAGATCCACTACAGCACTACCTTACTTGTAACTAGTTCAATATTTTTGTGTGTGAATGCAATACACAAAAACTTGGGCAGGGTTTTTAACCACAGGTATACTTTTCCATGAAATACAGTAGACCAACTACTGTTGTGTTAAGAGATCCTAAAGCTTGTAATTATGTATGTCTGTAGAAATAATTATAACACACCTTTTAATTCAGCTCAGCTGGTAGTGCTAATGTCTCAAAAGCAATTTAATAAAATTAAAAAAAAACATATTAAAGAAACCGGTCAGTCACAAATAATAATCCCAGGCACAGCATAAACAACCTGTAGCCCCGCCATCATCTGATAAGCACATGACTTCACATCCTTTCCATTTCTATTTTATTTCCATGATGCTGATGTATTACATTTCTCTGTAAAACATTGTATAATCCACACACGGTACCACTTTACATATTAGCACTTTCAAATGTATTCCACGACAGCTCTTTTTACTACAGTCATATGCCTATTTTAAAGCCTTTCAGTTACTGATTTAACGTCAGTAATTTTTCTCCCATAATCTAATTAATGTGCCCAGTAAGATCTAGTAGGTACTGCAAAAAGTACAGCTGTGTAAAGCATGAGTTCACATTGAAGACTATCTAAAACTGCAGTCACCAAAAGCCGTTTGAATCATATTAGCAATAACTCTTATTAAACAGAGACCTTTCTCAGAGGTGCACGAGTTCACTAAGAAACAGGGATGACCAGCAGATCAAATGCCACGTGGGTGAGTGCTGTGCAGTTGCTGCAATCTCCGCGCCGTGCCGCACGGGGCCACAGGCAGCCAGAGGCAGGACGCACCCACCTGGGTTAATGTGCAACGGTTACCCACCCAGGAGAGGCAGGATATCGAGGGTCCCTTTATGATCAATGGGGAAATTAAGAAGCAGCACCTTCTGGGCATCTATCTCTTCGACTTCCGAGACCCTAAACATCTAACTTCAGCTAGAAGCTGCAATTCAGCAGGCCCACCAAAGAGATTCCCACGTTAAGAGTGCTTAGAATAAATGAAAAAGAAAGAACGAACTAGATGAAAATCAGAAATACCACACAAAAGTAAAAGCAAATCAACCTTTGTGAATATTAGAAAGTAATTCTAAATCAGTCAAAGATAATTCTTCTTCCTTTAAGGGATGTTTTCCTAATTTATACAAGTTATTCCCCACCCCTACCCCTCATCCTTTCTGGTGGAAGAAAATGGAAACAAAAATTCCTTCCCTCCTACTCTGCCTTTTTCTCCACTAGCATCCGTGGCAATCGCTCTGATGCATAATGTTACATCATTACTTTTTAACAGAATTCCCAAGTTATTTCATTAGGTACACCTGTACCAAAATTAGTGACATATTAAGACTGAAACATGCTTTAAGTCCATCATCAGCACTGCAGAATTCTTCCTCCAATATTGAGTAGCATTATGAATAACTGTGTCAAATCTGTTATTATATTACTGTGCATGTCAAGTTTGCTTCTTTCAAAGTGCTTCTTTTCCCTTGTTAAGACAAACTTGCTGAGATTAGTCAAAGTTAAATGCCCAAATTAACAAAGCAATGCCCCTTAAGAATCCTTAAGATAATGGAGGCTCATCAGTAGAATTTTCTGGAACTACACTCACAGATTTATTAGTTCCCACACACAGCTACTGTTTAAAAGATCTTCAAAGGGCCTGTTTACTAAAACAAGTGCCAAATGTGTTTTCAGTTGCACTCAAACTGCCTGCAGTATGGGGCAACCGTGCCAAAGGAGAAGGAGCCTTTGTCAACTGCAGTTTGAAGTACTGTAAACAAATTGATATAAAGCACCAGAAGGTTTACAACATAGTGTCAGCATTTCTTCCTCTGACTACTCAAGGAGTAAAGCTAACAATAATTAACAAAACAAGAGTATCCTATAGCAACAACATAAAAGGTTGACATACATTATCATTCTATCTTGAGAGTCTTAACACCACTCTTCATCACGGTGGTGGTGAAGCTGAGCAGCTTCCTATAAGTAGAGAGAACATCCACTAGTGATCTCAGATGAAGTCTGAATTTCCTCTAATCCTAAGTATATTTAAATTAAAGAGTTTGGTTGCAGACTCCTATAAAGCCAGTATTTCATCTTCTCGCTTTTTTCTCCTATTGAAGCCTACACACTCTGCCCTTGAAAGTGTTAACTTGGTTTCAAGAACACAGTTTTCATTTAAATAGTTTTATAGCATCTTCTAAAAGGTAAAAGTACTTTTGAAATAATCTTAACTTCCAATGTGTTTCACACACGACTGCTTCTGCAGAATGCTATGAGGAGGAGCAGGGAAGAAGGATAAATATGAGAGTTCAAACCCAGAGGCTACCCTTCATTATATTTCAGAAGGCACTAGGGGAGATCAATAAAGATGAGGCACACAGATAATAAACAAGAGTCTGTTTCTGTTAATCTTCCCCCCAAAATATATAAGGATCCACATCTACCTCTTCAATTTTGGTGTCAATTGAACTATGAAGATAGCCAAGTATTCAGGGATTGCATTTCTAGAAGAAACATAGATCGTGACGGCCATTACAGTGCACTCTATCTTAATGCAAAAACATATCCAATTTCTTTTTAATATGTTCAAAAGCATCTTTCCCCATATAGTCCATGCGCCCTTCCTCCCATTTTCTCCGTTCGTCTTCTGGACTTGATTCTTCTGGTTTGAAGTGAATCATCAGCTCTGAAACAGAATGTGCGACCTCATTCTGTGGGAAGAAGCAGGACAGTGGGAAAACAGTCATTTGGTGGTTCTTACTTCTGTGCTGTGAAGTTAAACCCTAAATGTCAAGCCTCTGCTTTGTACAGACCCAGTTAAAACAACAAAACAAACTATTCAAACATTCATTCTGGTTTTTATAACGTGATCTCATTCTCCTGTGCTTTTACTACTAGTCATTGCACCTTTGAGCATACCAAACATTTATTTATTTTTGTCTTAACTCAGACCTCAGCCTACTCAGCAACAACACAATGAGAATATTACAAATACGATCCATTTAGAGTAGAATACCTCCTACAATAGAGTGTAACCATGTATCTGTGCAAATTTTGTCTTCAACAGGCTGTCATTAGCATGTAAATTCCTAGAATTTTTGGTCACTTGTTTTATCTGATCTACAGTGAGGTCGGTATTATTTAGCTGATGTGAGACACATTACCCATATAAACTACTTCAACAGATCAACACTATTCTTTACAGAAATAACTAGTTCATTTTGAATGATGGTTCAAAACAGTTCAAGATCAAGTTATCATAGGTGCCCAAATGCAAGACACATTATTAGTGACAATTTAAAAGAAAAGCTGTGTCCATGATTGACCAATGCTGGTAAAACCAGCACATCCAGACAATTATAACCAGTAATAGAGATGAAATATAACAAGGACTAATCAAGGCAGGTACTGAAAACCTTCTTTAAGTACTACACCAAGAGGCTCCAGGGCAAACAACTCATCTTGTGTTATAAATAAAATAGAAATCAACTGGAATGGCCTTCCAGTTAAATCCTCACAAATTCAATATAAAAATGTTTCAGAATAGAACATAATGGGCAGGAATCGGTGGCTTAAACTGCCTAAGTGCCCTGGAATATCCATGACATCTGCTGATTTGGGGCAGATAAAGCACAGGACTTGTGCAAGACCCACACCTGCAGACCAGGTAAGGTATTTCAAACAGTCAACATGACACTATATGCTTAGGCAACTGCATCCTTCTATATGTATCCCCACCTGGGTCCCACTCGGTACACGACTTTAAACATCAATAAATACTCTGAAGAGCATGCTCGCTCCCTATATATGCAAATATGTATTTAACTTTCAGGCTTTGTATGCACATAACTGAAGTAATTCATGAAGATTCCTCTCTTTACCATTGGCAAGCCTGATCAACAGTTTTGGATGCCATTAACAACAATACAGGAATCACCATGTTTTTAAAAATGAAGAATTTTAAATAGGGCCCAAACACCCCCGGGCTGCATGGGACCTACAGTTTCATCTACAGTTTTGTTTCTGTCTTAAAGTATTTCACTGTAGTGCTTCATAATCATACAACAGGCCTCACTAGGAAAAAGGCTGTGTTGTGTACCTTACAAGATACAAGTCCTTGACACCCTGCCACCTCTATCAATGTCAAGTCTGGCACTGTTGTCCCTCTGCCCAGAGAAATGCATCACTTCAACAGAGTAAAAAAAAAAAAAAAAAAAAAAAAAAAAAAAAAAAAAAAACCAAACTGAACACACAAAAAAAAAAAAACAAAACAAAACCAAACAAACAAACAAAAAAAAAAAAAAAAAAAAAAAAAAAAACCAAAGAAACCACTTTGCTTGTATTAGTATCCGAGAGGTAAAATTAACACCATGCATGTTATCACTTGGGGGCTAGTATGAGAAAATACACATTTAAAAACTATACGTTTTTAAAAGAAAATTAGAAAGGGATCACACCCCAGTATTGGAAGCAGTTAAGGAATTACGTAGCTAAAAAATTAAAGAATTTATTTGCACATTGCACCATAATTAGTTGAGATTTCCCAACATTATGTTGGCAGCAAAGATATGCATGCAATTATTAAGAGATGTACAATGCAGAAAGCTACGTGTACCAGTTCTGAGGTTTCCTGAAACGCAGGATGAAATACAAGTTGTTCTGAAGGTCTGTCAGGCTCAGAGAGGTGGACGTTGGAACCGCTTTGTTCAACTTCACATACAGGTTGCTAAAATACAGCCACTAAGGTTTTATTAGGCAAATATTTTTTCATAGTTTCTTTATCATGAGAATTCAGATGGTAGAGATAGATTTCAGTCTTGGGTTAAGGAAAAGCAGTAGACGGGAGGAAAAGGAACAAAGCACAATTGGACAATATTCATCTTACCCAGCTTTAGCTATCAAAATTGCACTGAATCTAAGCTCCTACTATAATCAATCTAGGATAAGTACCTCCAGAGGGCAGCTCATCTCATCCTAAAACAGGTTCAAGAGTGGCTGTCATTGTTCAGTGACTACAGAAGCAGCCTGGAAAGCTAGCTTACAGTAGATGCCTACCATTCACGAGGCCAAACTCCAATGAGAAAAATCTCATTTTAGGATAATAGCTTGGCTCTACAACTCGTGAGCTTTTCATATGTATAAAATGAGAAAAGAACAACGAATGCCAAAACAGAGGTAAAATAGATTGCTCAAAGAACACTGCCCCAAATATTTGCCTTTTTCCAGATATCAAAACATAAATGGGCAGACAAACCCCATTCTGAAGTCTTTTCCATCAAAACCAAAACCATCCCCATAAGACTATAGAAGCTAACCAGCAAAAAGTGTCGTGATGGTATTCCTAAGAAGAGAATCAGGCTATTAATTTCTAATTATTATGACCTTCTGATAAACCAATTCTAGTAATTACAAAACAAAAGAAATTTCTATTTGAATGACACTACTTTAAGTGAACATTATGATTTTTTTACCCCGAACATCTGGAAACTGCACCTGTCTGGTTTGAGCATTTCCAATGGAGTCAGATGCACGAGGCACAGAAGATAACACATCCTTTGCCAACAAATTTTTAAATTAGAGAGGTAGAAGGTTTGCAGTTTTCCTTCAGCCTCTTCACACTCAAGGGGAAAGAAAAGAAGGAAGGCTACAGTTTTATTTTATGGAGTAACTGTAATCTAAAGGGAGGAAGCACTGAACATAGTAAAAACTGTAGAGAGATGTCCACCAGTTACAATAACAGATGACATTAGAACATTATTTTCTGCTAATTGTACGTTGCTGTAGCATGGTTTATCATGCAACACGTCATGACTTGCACCTGCAGAAACATTGCACTATTATGTCCAACTTAATTTCTGCATAAAATAAGGGGAGTCAGTGGAAGAGAAACACCCAAATACAGGAGCGACAAAAGAACCAGGACCCCGGCAACATTTGTCAGTGGATTCTTTTAAGACACTCCTTGTTACCCAAATCACAGGAATTTGGGGAACAGTTTTTCAAGTCGACATTTCAGAGGAAAAAAGTTTTCTACAGAGAAGTGATAGAAAGGATTCTAGTTATAAATATATTAACTCACAAGAGTATTAATATTAAAAAGATTACTTTGGTAACAATTTTTTTTTTTTTGTATTACAGTTTATTGAGTACCTAACAACATTCAGCAAGTAATCTCTTCGTAAAATTCAATGCAAACTCTTAACCTCCAGACACTTCATGCATGCATGACTAAAGATTAAAGAAAATAAATACTCTCTAGACTATTTCTGATGCTAGAAAGAAAATTTAATAGCTACAGCTACGTTGAAGAAGATATAACCTCCCAGATTAGAAGCATAATTTTAAAAATCTCATTTTAATATATCATTTTACTTTGTTGCTGCACATGGTAACATACAACATACTTACAGCTCTGAAAGTGAATTCCTCTGGTGAACACACTGTGGGATATATTTCATATGTCTGCTCTTGAAGCACGGGCATTTGCGCTGAATTGGTCACAGAAGGACTGACCTTTTTCAGTGTCATTTCAACTCCACTGAAAACGTGCTAACAAAAACAAGAACATTTCACCACTGAAATAGTAATTTCTTGCAAAATTAGATCTTATTTACAACAGTTTCACTTTCTTACAGGGATTTCAGCATTAAAGGACTAAGTTAATAAATTCAGAAAAGTTTGTGGTCCCAGATTCAGAGCATGTTGCAATTTAGATTTTTGCATTTTTGAGTGTGCCAGTGTCATCAAGAGGTAAATCTAACAGGTATTTCCACTTTCATGTTACCTTAGCTGAAATATTCCTTTACTGTGCAATTTCTTAAAAATTAAATCATGCTGAAGTATGAGATCAAAAACTACCCATTTCTTCCTCTGTTTTCCAATTTGTCATGAGGTTAACAAAGCAAATTCCAACTCGGGGCTTTGATAGTAATTCTCCAACTGATCTTATAGGACCATGCAATTAGTTCAATGATGGTAATAGTCTAATATTATAAAAAAAATAAGAAAATGTTTACATATGCATAACAGTGATCTAAATTGTCATGTCTGGATACAAAATTAAAAGTTGTGCTTCTCCTATTCATTACTTTGTGCTGCTGGTCTCCAAGAAATCATCTATTTATCATCAGATTTTTTTTACTCTAGTCATGGAAACCATATATTGCTGCACTTCCTTTAAAGAAAAAAAAAATGCTTAAAGAGCTCAGTAAATGCTTGATGACATCTGAATACTGTATGTAACATCCTAAACATAATTTACACTGCCTTTGCAAATCTGATTTATTTGTCATGAGCCTCATAAAACAAGTTATAATACAGTTCTGAAAAGGTAAATTTTACTGTAGTTCAAGGGCTCATTTGATGGTCTACATCGATTTGGCTTCAAAAAGTCAAAAGCCTGTTTGTTTCACAGCCAGATTATCACCTTCTCTGGTTAATTTGTATCATACTTTGTGTTTAATTTGCAGAATCTCTACACATACGTTCCCATACAAACTCTTCATCATTTAAGAAGGGGGCTGAGGGGAAATCTTTGGAAAGCCAATAGTACTAAAAATCCTTCCTAAACTGCTAGTTTAGATACTTCTAGAAGCAAGCAATCACTGCTACTACCAACCAACAGATACTGGTTTTCCACATAATTTCTTCCTCTAGCAAACAAATATTTTTCAGGATTTTTGTTGTGATTCCAGTATATTCCCACTAACCCCTTATTAGTTACCTTGCCTTCCTCAGATTCTGATTCTTCCCTCTCCTGATGTATTTCTAACAAAGGCAATACACTGGCACTGTATATATTCCACCAGAGGGCAAGAAACGACAGCTGATGAAAAGATCCAGAGGTGGTGCCATCCTGCACAACTCTTTTTGTTTGAGGGTTATAGTTGTAGTTCCAGGGCTTTGTTGCTCCCAAGAAGTGAACAACTTTGGCATCTCTACCAAAACTGTAGAGATTAAACATACAGGTCTATACATGAAATATATATATAAAAACATATATATATTATATTATACATATATATGAGCATATGTGTGTATATATTTATATATAACATATATATTACATATACATATGTATTATGTTTTATATATATATGAGGTAATTTTGACATTTTGCCACAGCAACACATTCAATATGGGCATGTATTAGTATTTTTTCTATCTTATTAGTTTACTGTGTCTCATTTAGCATACAGAAAACAAAAGGCTGCATTGTCATTTGCTTCCAGCTGCTGATTCTAGTAGAAATGTTCATGAAGGACACTGACAGGCTTATGCAGTACCATTTCCAGTCCTCCTGCATACTCTGTTCACAAACAAATAAATACCACTTCAAACACTGAATCAACAAAATTGGTTATTAGTGATCCCACATTAAAAATTACTAATAAATACATTGTCCTAAGTTCACCATTGAGTGTTTTGTGCAACTGAAACAGTAATTTATGACACCCTAAAATCCAACTTGCCTTCTGCCAGAAAAGTTTCTCTAACTGCAGTGTCTGAAGTCATATAATTACTAGCATAAATTCTGTTTCATGGAATAACCTAAGAAATAATTTAAATAATTAAAGAAAAATACAATTAACTGTTTCCCATAGAACTGACTGGAAAAGATGGGAATAACTCTGAAAGCAAAGCTGTCAGAACCCAATGCTGAAGTAATTTCATATTTTCAAACATGAGAAAAGCTCATCTGAAACAACATATGAGACATTGTAGCCAACTCTGGGACATGCCCTGTGTCCAGATGCAAGACATTTGTATTGCACATAGGTTCTACTGCGTGATTTTTACATAACATCATTTGTGACTACTGAAGTTTATAAACAACAGACTATGCCATTATTATTCTCTCTTATAACAGAACAGTAACAAACTACGGAGGTTTACAGTCAGTCAGAAGTGTTACTACTTACTGGTTGAAAGCAGGAACATAGGTGTATACAGCACTGCTGCTTAAGTTATAGATGAAAGGTAAGTGTTTGCCAATATCTGCTGTTGCCCAGTTGCTGAAGAAGCTATTCAACAAGCCCTGATCACCTCCTAAAGAATATAAAAGCAACAGTATTACCATAATTATGCGTACACTCAAATTTACATCAAAATTTCACATCCAGGGATGGGGGTGGGATTGGTGGGTTCATGTGACTGAAACTTGGACTTGACAACATGGCCATGTGAGCAGGTACAAGTGAGTAATACCTGATCCACTCCGGTGCAAGTTCAGTGTAAATGGAGTCCTATTGTAATATAAGAAGAAAGGAGTAGGAAAGGGTTTTGGTCTCCCTCAGAACAGAAGACTGAAGATCAGCTGTATTTCTCTCTCCTAAACCAGACAGCAAAAGTAAAACTTCCTAAGTAAGGCTGAGACACAGTGTCCCTTCATTGACCTTCTCCGGGAAGAACAGTCTGCAATAATTCAATGGGTCTTAAGTACGGTGTAAGAGGCAAAGCTCTGCACCTTAAATTTTTGTGGGGGCACAGTTACGTAAAGCCCGGAGAACTCCTGCCTTCCTCTGTTCTGCCTGATAGCATGGAAGGTATGGAAAACAGCTTGCTGAGAAGGAATCCCATGTCTTGCACTTCATCCCTTATGCCTTGCCCCTTACCATCAAAGCTGCCATGCTCAGCAGCAAACTGCAGCAGTAAGCTGTAAGTTTTCAGAGAAGGCCGGAACACAAATACCCCACTATTAAAGCAGTCAGGCCAGCCAGAATCAGGAGCTGCTGAAAACTCTTCTCGATCAAACAATTCATCAACATTGCAAAGCACCTTAGAGACAGTAGGAAAAAAAAGAATAATTGTTAGAGCAAATGTTTTGCTAGAACATGAGCAGCTAAAAATCAGTACCAATGAAGTAAATTGCTAGTTTGGCCAAGTATATAACTTGCAGACCATAAAAGCAGTGGCAATGCAAAAATATGCTAAGGGTCAGAACCTCTATTTTTATTATAGTAAAGTGACTTTAATTGTGCTTCTCCAGGATTGCTCTGACAAAAGCGCAAACCCTGTGAAATTATTTCATGAACCTTGGAGATGCTCCAGAAGGTCCCTTTAAATATTATAACATACCATGAAACCACATAGTTTCCTTGTTTCTTAGATTACCTTCCCAGAGTCCACTATTTTCAGTAACTGCAACAGAGCTGAATGAAAGCTGGGAATCCAAATAATTTGAGTTTGCAACAGACTGAGTAAAGGCGTAGTAGAAAAACTGTCTCTTGTTACCAGTTTTCTAAAATAAGTTAAGCTCAGAGGTTTGCTTTGCTTTGCTTTTTAAGCTTCACAAGGACGTGTGGAAAAAAAAAAAAATAAAAATCAATCAGGTTAAGGACAAGGTCACTTTTAAAGTTGGTGGAAAGACAGCTGTACAGTCTCTAAAAGTCCCACCCACAATTGAGCCACAGTGAAAAACAGAAGAAAAATATTTTTTTTTTTAGGATAAAGATTACTTCATTGAGTTTAAAACAAAACCAAATATTTGCCTTCCTCTGTTAATGTAAAGCAGGAAATCATAAGCCTCCCCACCTCACCCCCTGAGAACAATAACTTAATTTGCTTCCTAATTCAAATACAATCCTATTAAATTAAAATGCATCCCAGTCTTCTAAAGTTAGTCATTTAAGTGTAAGAGAAGACTGACATGACTGTCCTGGACAAAATTATGGCCATTTTTATCTCTACACCTCTAATTTTCTCCATTTTAAACCTGGCCTGCCTTCCTGACCAGAATAAGTCCAAATGAAAGTATATGAGAGATTTATTTTAAACATCTGTCAGAAGCCCATTTCCATGGAGTGTGTTTGTGATATCTTTTGAGGACAGTCCTGAGGCTACTCTCAAAACAGGGTTTATTTCTGTGGAGCTGGCAAAACCGTGAGCATTGCCAAAATACACCACCTGCAGCTCCTGCAACCGTGTGACTACCAGCAAATCTGGTCACTTCACAGGCCAGCGGGCTGCCTGACAAGGAAGCATCCCACACTCAGAGCAGCTCTTTAAGACTGACACAAACATTTCCACGGGTCCCACCCTACTCACCAATGTGTCTGCATCCATGAAGACACATTTGCTATAATGAGTAAGAGTCCAGCAGTGAAGCTTGGTGAAGGTTACACCCAGTTCTGGCCTCTGCATCAGAGCCAAACGGACTGAGTCAGCACTGTCAAGCACATCCACCACGATAACTTCATCAAACACACTGCGGAGGGCAGACCTACCAGAGCAAGCAGTGGAGGGAAAGAAGGGAATTTAGAGAGGTTCATGAGAGGTCACATCTGGCGTGAAAACAGCGACACACAGTACCACATTTATTATAACAAAGGCTGGATCAATTGGTTAAAATGAGAAGTCAGAAGTCAAAAGTCCTCGTAAACCGTCTGCTGAAGTGACAGCCCATAAACCATTGCCTCTTCCACTATGGCACCAGCACCTTAAAAGTGACAGATGCTGTACGTTTGGGAAACCAATCCTTAGTTTAATTACTTAATCTCCTATGGAAACACCAACAGAAATTGAAACAGCTTTCATCCTGCACGGCTGTCTCTGAACACCAGCATCCTGTGTTCCCCGTGCACGGCACAGGACGTGGCACGCACTGCCAGCTTGGTCATTTTGCACCTAGTATGCCCAAGTAAATGCAGCTTCAAAACTGCCCCTTTTAAAACAGGCAATATGTACTTGCTCACTACTACAAATTGTCTCAAATCAGACTTTTAGGAAGACATCTTTCTTCTATGCATATCTTTCACGGGAATTGTAAAGGTGATACCAAAGTAGGTCATCTTCCTTCAAGACACAAGAAAAAAAGTCTTTTAAACACAGCTTATTTATTTATGTTACACTATTAACTACAAAGTCCTGAGGGTCGTACAAACACAGAAAAAAGAAAAGCCCATGCTTATTATCTGGATTGCAGAGTCATCAGCTTTTGCTTGACTCACCTTCAAGGGTCAGGAGTTAACTGGGAAAGAAATAAGAGTAGGTACAGATTTTTAGAAGCATAGTTCAGTAATGTATTTTTTTTTTTTTTATGCTATCCTTGATTTAAAAATATATTACAAAGATTTTTTGTTCCCCCACTGAATGAGGATGGAAAACCTGATGGACTTAGTATCCACCCAGGTGTCAAATGTACACAGTATTCGCTCAGGAAGGTTACAGCATTCCGACAAAACCCGTGCTTCAAAAAACCTGTAAAACCAGATTTCGGTACATCGAATCACAGCAAAAATGGGAAAGCATGTTTCTTGAGCCAGATGCACTGCAAATACTTTCACGTGGCCTACAGAAATCAGGAGTTTGCACATTTCCTAAGCCATAGCAGAACTAAGAGTTTAAGTAGCTATGGCATGTCATGTTCCTTTTAGCAAGCAACACGGTCCTTCAAATAACGGGGCTTGAGTTCAACAGATCTAATGACATTTCTGTACATGCAATTCTGTAGTGCCTATAAAGTTATAACCCAAATTGGAAAGTGATTATGCTTTTAAAAAAAAGCCACCAAAATAAATTAATTTCTCATCATGATAGCAATGCATCAGCATTTTAAGAGGATTAGTCATCTGAAACTGAGCCCCTCAAGTTTTTGGAGAGTTCTGATGTCACATGTGGTTATGTGTCTTGCTCCTTCTAAAAGATAAACACTTGGGAAAAGAAAAGAAAAAAAAAAAAAAAATCCCAAACCACAGTAGTGCCTTTATTTTGGCTCAAAAGCAAGACACTAAAATCTTAGTTCCAAAAATTTCAGCTTATGTCCCCAATTACGGGCTTATAAAAACTTCCAGCCACAATCTCTACTTCTGCAAGTGAATTCCTATTAGGCTTATGATCTTATCATGGATGTTATGTGGGACTTCTCTCAGAAATCGCTAGCCAAGGGGAAACTTCTAAACATAATGCTGTGAAATCCACAGGAAGCCTATTAAAATCTTTCATGCTGTTGTTTATTCTTCCATACCATCAACCTCCAAAAATACATGAATTCTTACCTCATCCTGCTGGAAACCTCAGGTGTAATTAGTACTGCCAGTTTTCTAGATGTCATATGGTTCCTCAACGACTGTCCGAGAACCAGGGCGCCTTGACAGTACACATCATCGGTAGCAAGGGTCACAAAGGCTTGATCTCTTACTGTGAGCAAATATTCAGAAGAGTTACTTTACAGTTTAAACATAAGCTCTTTTGGCAGGTTCCTACAGCCTCCCTCCTCCAGCTAACCAACAGGCTGCAGCTTATAACAACCTGCAGTACCTGTGATAAGCATTTTTCTTTCCCAAACTCCCCCAGAAGACACAACTGAATAGAAAATCCAGTGAATGTGATTGCAGAATGTATGTTTATGAATTTTGTTATTTTTTTTCTTTGCCTGATTTACATAATAATGAGTATGAAGTTTTTGGACTAGCCCTAAACAAATAATTCAAAGTCTTATTGCCTAAACAGAATGGTAATCAAAAAAAAAAAAAAAAAAAAAAGCACTCTGTAAATATTTAGATTGTACATTTAACTAACATAGTATAATACAACTGATAAGGAAAATGTTCCTGTTCATACAGTGTCAAAAGCTAAGGAAAAAACCCCAGGGTTTTAAGTACTATCCAGAAATGTCCTCCTTTCCATAACCTCACTGAGTCAACCCAACAGGCATTATTCTTTGCCCTGTCCTCTTTGTGCTGGAGTAACTGGTGCTGGCTGAACAAACGCAGAGAAAGAGCTACTGAGATTGGTATACCTCCCAGAAGCTAAGGATCCTTACCTCAGGTAGATTCAAGAAAACCAGGAGTGTGCCTTATTGCCAAGAAACACACAGGGAAAAAATCTTACATGGGAAAAAAAGTTAGAATAAAAAAGTAAGCAAGCTACACTCCTGCACAATAGCAGACATAATGTATTCTGTAGAGATACCAGGCCTGTGGCAGTGTCACCAGGGGCTGATTCTTCAGCTCTGCCCTCTGAAAGAACCACCGTTACTGGGGTATTCCTGGGGAGAGGCAGAACCTACAATTCAGCAAGCTGAACAGCATCCTCAGAGCAGAAGGAAGACCCCAGCTTTCTAGGCTGCAAAATTAACCAGAACCAAATGAGCGGGTCACACAGATGAGAGGAATTCCACTGAGCTCTACAGAGCTTCAATAAATACTTGTGTTAAACTACTTGTTTAAAACCACCATCATCTTAAGGGACAAACAACTATGTTAAATAAATTAAAACAACCAAACAATACCAACAGCAAAAACACCCTGTCATACAGTTTCCAGGTTCTGTGAGAGACACCGGGAAAGAATGTCACAGAGCTACTTGCAGAGAACCCAGCAAATGACCTCAAGGCTGCCTCAGCCAGAAGCTGTCAAAATTAATGAGTTCAAACCTCTAACCTAACATCGAGGTATGCAGTGAAGTATGGTTGGTGCTGGTAACAAGCTCTCGGGTACTAAGTATTTTCATTTGTCGTGTTCTCTAAATTCTGAGCAAAGCACAGACCCACTGGTCTTTTTTCCCCCTTTTTGCCCTACCTCCCACTCATCTCCAGACAGACCTGAATTCAAATAAATGACATACACTTTACATTTGCTGACACTGTAACAGATCCCTGCACCTCAGGAGAACCCCTGTAGTGTTAAACTTGGCCTAAAAAACTGAATAATCCACCCAAACTTAAAACAGTTTGTAGATCCTTCGGAAAAACAAACTCCAACAACATTTTTAATCACAATTTCCAGGAGAAGCAAATGTGAAAAGGAGCTTTGAAATCTCCTGTAATCATAACAGCTTGAACAAGTGTGTTCCAGAAAACAATTAATAAGGAGTTGCTTACATGGAGCGGTTTAAAAGGGCAGTTGTGCAAGTAAACTGTTCCTACTGCAATGTTCCAAAAGGTTAAACAAAAAAATATAAGCATACATAAAAAACAATAAAACACTGAAGACTACTTTAGCAATAAAATTATTCTCAAGAGACATAAAAAGTCAGAAATGAAAAGCATTTTTGTGTTAAGCAACAAGCATCTTCAACCAAATAAAGGTAATAAAACAACTCCTGAAAGGAAAGTGGAAGGTAAGTTAATACAAAAAGCAAACTGTAAAATGAATGGGAGTTTAAATCTTAAAATACTGTTTTAAAAAATAACCACAAAACTGAGCATGTAATCTTATTGCTTCTGCAAATTCTTTTAGCTACAGAAGCTGAATCTTTACTTAAGTAATACTTCTAAAAATATACAAGCTACTCATCAAATAGTTCAGCATGCTGCTATGGCAAATTACCACATCCTACACAATGCTTTCATGCTCTGTACCTCTGGGGCAAAAGTTGTGGTCAGAACCATGAGGAAGCAAAATGGCAAACAAATACAGCTTATAAGAAACTCTTGCTAATACCTTACACAGAAAATAAACTAATAGCCTGATTTGAGAATCAGATGTGGGCTATATATTATGGCTTTCTTAATAAAGTGAATTATTACAGAAATAATTAAATAGATAATCGAACTACTGACTGAAACCCTGTAACATTAAAATATTTCTGGTGCAAAGAGAGAAGCATGTCCTAGCTATTTGAAAATTGTATAGGAGCATGACTGATCCATTAAGGATACGTAGCGGGTTTAAAATCAAAAGGTTTTATCATTATTTTCATTTAATCCCTGATTTCAAGGAAGAACTGTTACTTGACTTGCCTCATTTATAATGTGCTTTGGAAGACTGTCCCTATAAGTAAATGTTGTTTTTGTTTTTTATGACTGAAAACTAAGGATCAGATTTTCATATAAACTTGGGAAAGTAAACCATTTACCTGAAATCAAGGAAAATATGCTGCATTAAATCTAATGTATGCAGAGTTTCACTCACTGATTTTAAGCTGAAAAAAAAAAAGAGCTGTTCTTTGAAGTTTGAAAGCCACCGGTGTAGGTATTTAAAATTCATTGCAACTGGATTTTTATTTTTTTTTTTTTTTTAAAGTGTCAAGAGCATAACTTTCAATTCCTTCTGTTAAATGACAACAGGATTTTTCACGGAAAACACCTAGTGTGCACAGTATTAAGTTTTCAAGCAAATTGTTTTCAAGCTGTGGAACCCTATGGCTAATACCATTGACTCTCAGTGAATTATGACAAAAGTGTATGATTAGAATTACATTAAAACCTTGTCATAGGAATTTATAAATCTGCTCGTTTCTCTTCTCTGGATTACTATACAGCACATGAAGATGCAGATTCAGAAATCATTACCATCAGCAGTGGCTCCTCAGTTTTAATACCAAACAACAGTTTCTCCGAAGTTTTTCAAGCAAGAAACTCTAGCGAGTTATTTTAGAGCCCACCCTGCAGCTACAGATAGCAACACAGAAAAGACAGCAAAAGTGATGTGAATCACTACAGTCTGGGTGTTTTTATGTGAAACCTACAATTTTTTAGCCAAGATCACCAACTTCTCATGCTACTTACTCATAGCAGTAGTACCTCTGACACTGCCAGAGGCAAAATTCTTCAACAGGCCTGAAAACCAATTCCAGGGCAGCTAAAAGCTTTACTTCGAATCCACACCAGCAAGCAGACAGGGTGGTGCTCACTTTGATGTTCAAAGAAAAAAGAGAGGGAATCAACAAACACTAGGTACCCACTGAGAGTTGGGAGTGACTCATAATAACAAGCACTGAATGAACCACATGCACCTTGCCAGCTTCTAGACAAGTTTAAGTAGGGTAGGGTTTTTTTTCCATAATCCACTAAAAATAGCTTTTAAAACCTATTTCAGTCTTTCTTCTGATAAACAGAGAAAGGATAAATGTGCTCTAGCTGTGGCTCCTAGAGTAACAACTCAAATTTGCCAAGTTGCCCACTCCAAAATTGCAATAGGAGACCAGAGACAACTTTCCTACAAGCATATGCTAAATAACGCATTGTTGTCTTAAGCATAAAAATAAGAGAAGATAAACCAGTAGCTAAAAGCCTCCAACCAGCTGGTTCCCAGGATGTACTGCCATTCATATTAACCAACATTGTACAATTGCTTTCTTAAATTCCTCCTTGGTACCATCTGCTGCTCTTTCTGTCACTTCCCCGCTTCTACTTCAGGCTCACCCTGCAGGACGGGCAGGCCACAGCCAGGACCTGTGCCCGCAGAGCCCAAAGCACCTTTCTGGAATCCTGAGAGACAGCGACATAACACGGCCCCAACTCACATCACGTTTTCTAACAACAATTTACTCCCCCTCCCACACATAGGTCCCAATGCATCCTCCCCCAGCAGCATGTCTCAGTGGGGATGTGTCAGACTACTGCAAAGATAAAGCAAGCTACGAGCCTTCTCACTTCTCTGACCTAGCCCAACCATAGCAGAAGCACTTGGAACAGAAAACTCTGCTCCGGCTGACACCCATGACCTTAAAAGCAGTCAAGAAGCATTTTGTTATAAGTAGGTAAAATGAATAATGATTTCAGACTATAACCTGTGTCAGACCACCATCAGAAAGTACTGTGCACGTTTTCAGCAAAGGGGCAGTTCTTGCCCTGGTAAACAAATGACAGCTGATGATTTTAATTCCCACTCTTCCTCTGTCTGGGTTCAACAGCTGAAACATTCACAATATTGCTGAAAGCAAAACCAACACTTTACACAGACCTTTTCATAACAGAATATAAACTGACATTTGATGACACTCAATACTTCTCCTGGTCTAACAATGTTCTGCCTGATCAAAAAACAGATTCTCCCTTATCCTTTATTAAAACAGTACTGAAGTTTAGTAGATGGGATTATGATTGTTGTCTTGGAAGGCTACAGAAGGAAGACTTGTTTCTCATTTTGTGTATCTTTTACTATGTATCTTTCAGTTAGGAACAGATACATTCTGCTTCAAGACCCTGCAATTTTGTTATTCAACAGCTAGTAATTGATCCCTGTGAAAAATCAAATGCAACAATGTTATAATATGAAAATAAGCGTAAGGCATAGAGCCCCAAAACTAAACCCAAAATAGTAACATAACAGTTTGAACAAAATTAGTAATAATTGCTTAAGCAATCAAAAGACAGCACAGAGGACTTCACACATGGTTAGGCGTTTCCAGTCTTTCCACCTTCCTTTCAAAAAAAACCCACAAGCAAAGCAAACCCACAGTCCTCTTATCCTTTAATTTGCAGACCCCCTTTCTCCATCTTCCCCCAACACCGAGTGCCACATACATGAATTCAAACTCGGGATCCACCAGGCTGAACACCCGAGGAAGGTGGGTTTGGGACACCCTTCTAGGGGTTCAACAAACCCAACTTTGGGGGGGGGGGGGGCTGCTGCTCAACCTGTCCCTCAGTTTTGAGCACATGTTCAAGAAACAAAAAGGCACCTGCACCCACCCCATGCAGTGAGCCCTAAACCAGCCCCTCACGGCTTTAAGGATAACTGGCTAAACCCAACACCGGTGCTATGGGAGAAAGGACCTGAGAAAGGTCCCTCTGAATCTGCCTCAGCCCGAGGGAACCCACTGGGGTCCGTCACCCAGCAAATCCACCGGGAAAGCCCACAGAGGCCTGGGTAGGCCCGTCCATCTGTCCAAGCAGAACACGCAAATGAGCTGAACTCTTTCACCCTGCCAGCCAAAGGGTTTAAACCCTAAACCGGGAGCCGCTAACGACAGCGCGGTACTCTGCTGACAACGAACCACCAGAGACCCTCGCCCACACCGGGGTGCGAGGAGGCCCCGTGGGGAGCCGGCCCACGCCGCCGGGGCAGCCCCGCCGGAGCCGCGGTACTCACCGGACATGCTGCGGCCGGCGGGGGCTGGGGCACGGCCCACGGCCCGCGGCGGGCGCGGTAAATCGCAAAACGGGATTTTCGAGCCTCTTTTTCCTGCTGAAGGCAGTGACAGCGTGAATTATACCCGCAGGGACTCCCGCGCAGCGGCAGAGGCCGTTTGGGAGAGTTGAGCAAGACCCACCCCGCTCCCCGTGCTGGGTTTCCTGCAAGTTGAGGGGGGGGGGGGGCAAACCCCCCCCTCTCGCCCCCCGCACCGAGGCAGGGCAGGGCCCGGAGCTCGGCCCTCAGAGCAGCCGCCCGCCCCCGGCCCCGGCGCCCCCCACGCGCGGCGGAGGCGGCACTGCGGCGCCCCCTGGCGGCGCGGCGCTCCCGCCCCATTGGCCGCCGCGGGGCAGCGCCCACCCCACGCCGGGGCGCCCTCCCGTCATGGCGGGTTGGGGTGGGGGGTGGGGGGGGAAAGGTGTGTGTGTGGGGTCCCCTCATCTCCTTCTCCCTCATCTCCTTCTCCCTCATCTCCTCTTCCCTCCCATCCCGCCACCTGCGCGCTGCTCGCGGGGCTGTGGGTGCCAGCGGCACCTCCGGAGAGCCTCTCCTCTCGGGTCATCCACGCAACTCCCCCCCCCACCCACGCGCCGTTGTTCCCGCCACCCTCGCTCCTTAGATCGCAGAACCGCCCCCCCCCCCCCCCCCCGCCACGCACGCTCCTGCGAGGAAACGGAGAAGACGAAAGGTGAGCTGGGGGGAGGCGCTGCGGTGCGGCCCTCTGAGGGAAACACCCGCGTTTTTGAGGGCGAAGATCCCGGAGCGCGGAAAAAAAAAAAAGACCTCGGAGCGCGAGTACCGTGACTCCGGCGCGGCTCGCGGTAACCCACGTACACGGGATTCACCGCGAGTGACGGGAGTCCACCCCGTAACGTCCCCGTAGCCACCATAACCCTTACGGGTACACACATTCTGATGACTTGTCACCCAGATAAATCAAAAAGAGGTTTTCAGAGAGCTTGTGCAGATAGCTTGTCACCCAGGTAAATTGAATAAATGTTTTCAGAGAGCTTGTGCCGATAACTCGTCACCCAGGTAAATTGAATAAATGTTTTCAGAGAGCTTGTGCTGATAACTCGTCACCCAGGTAAATTGAATAAATGTTTTCAGAGAGCTTGTGCCGATAACTCGTCACCCAGGTAAATAAATAAGTGTTTTCAGGGAGCCTGTGCTATATATGTTTTCACATGTATATATATATATGCCCGTATATTCACACAGCGTATCTCTGCAAGGCAGTTTTAGGCTGCCCCGGTTCAGCAAAGGCATCTTTGGGTCAGGCTGTGAGTGCTTAGCGGAGGGCAGCGATGCCGCTGCCGAAGGACATGCACACACCTTTAAAAATAAACCTTTATTCCCAACAATGTGCAAGTGATCGGTGTTGCTGCGCCCAGGTGCTGCATTTGTTGGCTCACACGCTGGGAGTATCCTGAAGGTCCACGGGAGAAGGTGATGTCATTGCTGCAGTAGCGGCAGAGGAGATTAAGGAAGGAAGGACATAAAAGCACAAGGAAATCAGGCTTTATTTATCCCACAGAAACAAAATTCCCAGGAAATGTGTTACCTGCTTACATAGACAGATCAACTAAATAGTATGTTTACGAGTAGCAAGATCGCTATTGTATGTGGTTTTACTGGCAGATCTGTTTCAGTTGGGGGACTTTATAATCAACAAAAGCAATAGAAGTAATATCTACATTTAGATGATTTTCTGTTCTGCTTGTGTACCAGCAATTTTGTTACAGTATAGAATAGTCTTAAAATGTGAGAATCAGTAATACAAGTTAGAGTTCTGATGGTCTAACAAGCCAGTTTATATTCCTTCCCCCTCCCGAATTAAATACTAGAGCTTCCCTACACAAACCCCGATTATCTGAAATAACAGTAATAAAATTATTATTAAAATAATAATAAAATTATTATTATTATCATCACCCCCCTCCTAGTTAGAAGGGAAATTAACACTGAAAAGTGTGTCTGCATACCAGTACATTGGTCACATGTTAATGTCATCAGAACAGAGTTTCAGAAGGTTAAACATTGGGGGGGTATTTACCAATTCAAGTTCATGATTTTACCTTAAATTCTTTGTAATAAAATCTGATTTTTGGATAATAACATCAACACAAGCAATTTCAACTGAGTAAGAAATTGTTTTGAAAATGTTATGAAAATTTTAAATAAATTATAATAATATTTCAAAACAAAAAAATCTAAATGTGCACAAAGATTCTTCTCTGGACACTGCTCCTGAAAGAAAATATTCTTAAGTTCTTTGTTTTCCTCAATGTCTCTAATTTGAAGCATTTCTTTCTCTTCTCTAGCAGGACATAGATGAATTTGCATATAAAAGGTATCAGCCGGCATATGTCCCAGAAAGTACCAAACAAACCAAATAAAACTCAGATCATCTTAGATAAAACACAGTATGTGTTTATTGAAAATTTTCAAGAGAAAAAAGCAAAACATATGTTTTCATTGTTTAACAAATGGCTGAAGTGGTAACCACAAAATATTTTAACATTTCATTAATCAAAACTCTGTGTCTACCTGGCAAAAGATATATCAATCTGTTTTGACTATGAACATGGAAAATTTGTATTTTTAAAGAAATATCAAGTGTCCTAGGAAACCATATTAAAAATAGATTTTCATTCACAAGTTGAAAGTGATAGCCGCAAAGGTCCTTGTCTGTTTGTGTGTTGTCAAGATGTTTCTGTATTTAAACTGATGTACATTATAATTTCTTACTTTCAGGATCAAAATAAAGATTATGGTATTCTCCTCAGCAACTGATATATATCCATTTCAAATATAACTTAGATCAAATGGTATTTTAGTTTATGAAAAGAATACTTTTTCAGATTATGTTTTTTAACAGTTTAAAAACCACAAAATCATGTTTACCTCCATCTACATGGAATTTCAGTAAGAAAAAGCTTGCTTCACATGAAAGATGAAGATAAAAGCACACAGATTTCCTCTATACTCTAAAGACCTAGCTAAAATAGCTGTATTGCAGAATTATGTCAGTAAACTAGTAGTTTTGCCAGCTTTCATCTGCATTCGGTTCATTTGGTTAGCTAAATGAAGGCAGAGATACTGGAGAAGTGTTAGTTTTTGTTGATAGATTTGTCTACATAGGAACATTTGTTAGCACAGTAAGGTTGATCAAGAATAAGGGAAAAGGATGAAATGGCCTTGCTACCAAAACTGTATCAACCATACCTCCTCATATGTATGAAGTTTAAAAGTTAGTGTGACATATATTTTATAGAACTAAGTGTCACAGGCTTGTTCTAAAGGATTCAGAAAATTTGGTACCTATTTTCCCTTAACAGAAATTATGAATAATACGGTTCTTAAAAAAAACAGCCAGCTGGTTTAATGCCTTTAAAGGCTCCTACAGCAGGGCCCATGTTTTCAAGAAGATAAACAAAATGTACGTCAAATTCCTGTTCCTGAAAACAGCTAAACACCATTTCAGCAATAAATAAATAAATAAATAAAATCAGCATGTGTTCCTCTTATTTTTATTTTTTTTTTAAACAGCGGTTCGTCAATGTACATATTCTTTTCATGCTATATTTTAAAATTAAGAATTAATTTTTCATCTATAGCTCCTTTCATTTTGCTAGAATTCAGACATAAACGCAAAGTAAAGGCATTAAAATTTGTATTCCTTTATACAACTTCAAGTTTTCCTTAAACATTATAGGCAATACAGAAATATGCTAAAGAAACCTAACATGTATGAATGAAAATGGTAACTTCCTTACTCCTATCAGAAGGATTAAGTATTTTGGATAATTTTGAAAACAGGAAAAAAGTTTGTTTGGCTTCTCAAATGCTCACAAAACAAAATCTTTTGATTTTTATCTTATATTAAACTTGTTTCTCTGTTGCTTAAAATAACTTCTGAATAAAAACACACATCCAACCTCTATGAATGAAGGTCAGATAGTTCATTACCATCTCTGGATGTTTTAAGCACATCTTTGATGATGTAAAGCTCAAGGTACAAGAGTGACGTCAGATAGAAGAGAGTGGGATTGCAACGTCTCAAAAAAACATTCCTTAGAGGAAGATTTTTCTTTTGTCAAAGTGATAAAGCAGGAAAAAAACGTTGGATCTGGGGGCCGAATGTCACCAACCAAAGGAGCCTGTCATCACCGGGCAACTCTTCTTTCAGTGGTTTACACTGTATTCCCAGCTGAAAAATAAAGATTGAACAGTCATCATTTCCATCACAGATGTCCTTTGCCAGCTCTTCTGGGCTTTTTTTCTGTTCCAGTCCTTCTGAGGTAGTAGCAGCTGGGAACCTCCTATGCCCAGGGGCGGCAGGATCACCAGCCTGATGCTTTAGTTACACCCCAGCCATAGAAACAGAGGAAAATAAGTGACTGTTGGGACCTGGAGGGCACAAACAGCCTTTGTGGCCCTGACCAGGCTCCCCCAGGGGCATCCTGAGCCCTGCTCTGCCTGGGTGTCCCCTGTGTAACCCTGCCCGAGCCTTCCCCGGGCTGGGGCTTTCTGAAGCGCAAGGCGGGGGATCCCAGATCGCTTCAGAAATGCCCGTGAAGCTTCACCACACACCTCCTGCGTGTGGCTCGTGCCTCAGTCGTTGGTCCCGCTGCGGAACAAATAACGTGAATTAGGGCTTGAAATTGGCCTCCGTGGCAGCCGAGGGCCGGGGCCAGGCTGTTCCCGAAGAGCAGGGAGCTGAGGGCAGCCCCAGGGGAGCCCAAGCCGCTGCCCCCCGCCAGCGCCAGGCACACACAGAGGGGCCGTGATGGCAAACGGGCTCCATGGACGGGCCAGCCATCATCAGGTGAAGGGGAGGCGACCAGTCCAGCCCAAGGCCAAGGCAGGACGCCTGACCAGCCATCATCAGGTGAAGATGAAGCGACCAGTCCAGCCCAAGGCCAAGGCAGGATGCCCGGCCAGCCATCGGGGTGTTGGAGAATGGCTCAGAGACAAGGGTCCTGTGCCTTTAGCCAATAGATTGTAAGCCTGCGTGCCTAAGTTGTGCCTTGTCATGTATTAAGAAAATCTTTGAACGAACGTTGGTGCAGGTTCTGCTCATACAAAAAGAAAAAGGGGGAATTGTTGGAGAATGGCTCAGAGACAAGGGTCCTGAGCCCACCGAGCAGTTGCATGATCAGAGCCTGCTCTAGCTGCTGATGCTGGGCCTCACTAGGGTTTGCCTGCAGCTGCTCGCAGCTGCTGATACAGGAGGAATGTCAAGGACGCTTCAGCCCTGTGTGCCGTGGTGTGTCGAAAACAGGTTAAGGGGAATTAGGAATAGTGGTCTGAGAAACCTAGTGTTGTGGTAACGGTGGTCTGAGAAACATTGTGTTACGGTACTGCCGTGTATCGAAAACAAGTCAACAGGAATCAGAAATAGTAGCATGAGAAACTTAGTGTTATGAGAAGCTTGTGCTGTAAGCTAACTGCAAGTAGGTGGACCGTGCGAATACGACCCTTAGAGCTTAAGCCAATCAGCTAGTAACTAGTAGGCATAATAATTATCATTGTCTGTATAAATATATGTACCCTGGACCAATAAAGACACACGCTGATTGATGCTCTATCACCCACACTGAACCCGTCTCGGCGTGTCGTTCGTCCGCGGCTCCGCATCGGGGTGCACGGCCAGGACAGGCACGTGGCGACGTGGCGCGGGCTGGGGCAGGTCGCCCACCCAGGCCAGAGCTGAAAGGGAGGCCCCAGCCAGAGGGTGCATGGGGTGCCCCAGGTGAGGCTGGTCTGGGCCACACAGGCTGTTTTCCACACACAGAGTCATGACAGTCAGTCACCTCCGTGGCGGCAGAGACCTCGTGTCAAGCACTTCCCTTCATAAAGCGACATACATCCATCTTCTGGGCATGTTATGGCTTCCTACACTTGTGCACAATGAAGAATATTAATTACTAGCATCTCTTACAGACCGGTGTGTTTTTTAGGATGAGATTTTCAAGTGCCTTCATCCCTGACCTGTTTCTGCCCCCACTGAAACTGTCTGTAAAATTCCCATCTACTTCAGCACTAAATTGGCTCAGAAAGTGGGAAACCGATTGGGTCTTACCATGTGGTTTGAAACAGAGTTTCTTGTTCTTGTAAGCGGAGTAGGCCGCTATGGATCCAACAACCAATATTACCAAAGCAGAAATTATAGGAGATGTAACTCCAGCTATTAATCCTGAATCTGTGGAAAAAGAGAGAGGTTTTATTCAGAGGCACTGAAATTGTTTGACTTAAGCATGTTCTCTACTACGGTGTGCTTTTGCCAAACTATGAAAACTGCTTGGTGAAACATTAACGATTCATTAAATAGAATTAAGCAGAAGACTAGAAATGATGTTACATTACAGCCAGTGTGAAAACGCTGTCCTAAAGCCTAATTTAGTATAGGTACTACTTTTATAAGGCTAACATTTTCTTACTATTTTATGATAATTGGAAACAAATTCTAGAACAAACTGTTTACTATACCCGTGTTTCCTCCATGATTGAAATGATGCTCCTCTTCACCTAGAACAGAGGGTGAAGTTTCATCAATAAATGTTTTTTATCTCGTTTTGAGAACAAAGTCTTTACTCAGCAAAGTGTGATTTCTTACAGAAGGTGAAAGGGCGCACCTCGGCAGGACTACAAGAGAGGAGGTCCCTGTCCAGTCCTGGCTGATGGCTGCATTGGCCAGAGGAAAAACCTTTCATCCACCTGACACTTAGTTTTTGGAGAAGAATATTATCTTCTAAAAAAAGGATAATACTTTGCAGTCTACATCAAGCTGATTTTATAGGGAATGGGAGGCCAGTATGTTCTTGCTATTCTCAACTGCCAGACGATCAAATGATTTATCAATAATTTAAGTCAAAATCATAGGCCCGGTACATCTACTTCCAGTTCTCAGCAGAATCCCCTTGACTCGTGACTGTCCTAGCTGAATTCAAAGGGATAAATCCTGCAGAGTTCTGGCATATGCCAGAACACTACAAAATGTTTAGGAACATGTTTCAAGTTTGAGCTTCAGGCTCAAAGCCATGGTTTGTGGAGAAGGATAACTAATCTAACTAAAAATAGCAGAATCTTGTCCTATAGCTTCAATGACAAACAGATTACTGCTAAAGCAAAACCAGCCATCTCGGAGTTACAAATATTAGGGAGAAGATGCAAGGAGGATTGGCAAATAATACCTGTTATGTGCGGTGGTAAAGGCTTCCCATCAAGGAGATCTGAGTCATCAAAACCTCCTGCAAAATAAAGATTAGGATTTCCATTGCAAAATTATCTGAACAACGGTGACCCCTTCAGGTCCTTTGTCCAGTGTTTTTGTAATGTTCTAGGTAGGGGTGAGGGACCTTTGAAAATCCCAGCTTTGACATGGTGGATGGGTCAGGTGTGCTGCACCAAGTGGGCACATATTCAAATTCACCTGGAAGCTGGAGTAATAAAAATCTTGGTGTCTACCCATTCTGCATCTGTATTGGCGCCTGTTGGATGTTTGGGCGTGGGCTCTCGGTAGCACAAATCCTTATATAATAGGGACATCTCAAATCCCAGCGGTTGCTGGAGCAGGAAGTCAGTTGGTCCTGTCCAGGAAAAACTCCAGAAGGACCTGTCCATGGCTCACCACTACAGCCATAGCAGAAGTAAATATGCGATAACTGGCGGTAGCTGGGGTAGATGTGCCACTTCCACTTTATTTAAGTGGGTATTTGGGACCGCACTCAAAAGCAATACTGGCTTACATCCACCTCCCCCGGTCCCGCCTGTTGTATGTCCCAGGGCCATCTCAGATGCACATCTCAGTATGGATTTGAGCATAGGCTTGTCCCCACCCTATAGCTAGATGTCAAATTTGAAACTTAGCTTGGATCAGTGTATACATACCCAAAATGAAAAGGCAAACAAGATGAGCGTTAGTCTCATGCCACTTAGGAGTCAATGCCCCACATTTTGGGGAGACAGAAAAGCTTTATGGTAACACTAAAACTCAGAAAATCTTTACAAACACTGGGTCAGGAACAGTGATTACCAAAGGGACATGGAAGGAATGATAAAAACCATTAATAAAGAAGTAAGAGAGTAAATTATTCAAAATATCTGTTCTGAATGGGCTAGATTTTCTTAGGAGAAAATATTCTTACCAGAATTACTATGGCTTCCCGGTCGTGGTGGAAGAGGTGGGTATAAAGGTTTTCTTGTGATATCACCTGTTGATAAATAATATTGTTAGGTGGTTAGGCAGGCAAAACTGAGAGGCGTGAATAAAGAGTATGGTAACTTGAGATTTTATGCCTACTTCTAATTTGTCCTCTGGTCAATTAAGAATAAGACCTTGTCACTAGTTAAAAAGTTTCAAGCACTGTATCAACAAATAGCTATCTACTGTAACTAATTAGAAAGTGAAAAGGGAGTATTTTCAAAATTTAAATTAGAGAAGAATTCACAAAAATGTTGAGGGAAAATATGTCAAGTATTTCTGGAGAGTGCTAACATTGTTTACTGCTGACAGCTGGGAAGCACAGTGTGTTACTGTAGGTGTCCGTGGTACAGTTATGCAGAGCTGGCAGAGAAGTTGATGTTCTGGGCTGGGCAGGAGGCAACAGGTTATCTCTGTGCCATCAGCAGGTATTAATAAGATCTGCAGATTAGTTTCATCTAACAGATGCTGAATTCATCTAATGCATGATGAATTTTCTACTCTTGAACAGGGCAAAGTGAACTCAGACTTCAGCTTTGCTGTTTAGGACTTTGTGCTGGTATTTGGCCTTAGTTTTTTCCAAAGTATCAGCAACAGATGCGTTGGATAGAGCGGGAGATCTGATGATTAATAGCAGTTTCCAAACTGCACATACAGTGCTGGAGTAGCAAGAGCTGACTCGGGTCAAAACCTGCAAAAGTTAACGTCCAGGGCTTCTTCTCTGAGTATATAAAGTCTCCTCTTGCCATCCTTTCTCCAACCAGTTCAGTTACATATTTAACTGTTCTCATAGCAAGACAGCAAATTTAGCTCTGAAGAAATCAAAACGAGGTCACAGAAATAAATACCAGTTTCCCTCCCACTCCCAGTTTGGTTCTGATTCAGTAAATTAGATACGTGCTTAACTTTGGGCAAGTTTAGCCTACTGCCGTCAATGGATTTTAGGTAGAGTCTTAAAGCCTTGCTGGATCAGACTTTGCCCAGTTAATTGTGTTCAAGAGAAGAAGAGACCTGTTCTGGTCCAGATCTCTGTGTAACAAACTAAGACTCACTGTGGCACGAAACCAGAAAACTACCGACTCCATTATTAATTTATATTATGATGCTGCTCCTATTCAGTCTTCTCTAAGCATAAGAAGATATATTCTATGGCATGGGTAGTGAAAAATATCTTAAGAACTATTGATAATGATGTACATTTCATTAATCCCGTTATACCATGTACGGATGTCAATTAACTGAACTGAAAATGGAGCAAAGACATAAAAACCAAGTGAAACATAATTTGCCATCCTCTGAATGAAAAGGTGGGGTTTAGTGTAGGTACTTAAGCTATTCATTGATAATTTTATCAACATACTAAATCCATCCTCTCATAACAGTACTCATTAAAAACTTGCAGGAATAGAACAATTAGTACAGGCAGGAAGAAATTACAATACAAACATGGGAATTATAAACAAAATTAGATTCAGCTTTATAAACTGTGGGCTAACTTGTCATTCAAACATAGGCATGAAATAACACAGGAGAACCTGGAAATGTGGAAAGCTCTGGAAATGGGAACAAATAATATAAAAGATATGATTCTCTAAGACTGAAACACAAGTAAACCAGACCGCTGCGACTGGAATCATAAATCAGAGGTTTTGTGCAATGGGATGAGGTGTAATTTTTCTTTTGTGTAGCCTTGATTCAAGTGGAATTTTAGGCTTTGATTCAGTACTGCTTGCACTTTAGATAATTTCAGTGCACAAGAACTTTTCTAGGGTACTACGCATCCTTGGTATACCTCTAAACACACTAAAGAAAATGTGGTGCGAAAATTCCCAAAGTCAAGGATTTCATATGTCCACACAGCCCAGCAGAGTACTGTGAATACTTCCTAGGCCAGTTCTGGATGTTATAGAAATACCTGGAAGTCACAGCATGTTACCTCAGCTCGAGTGCTTCAAGCTCAAGCTATATCATGTCCACCAGCGCTCACCTCCGAAACATTCCTTTCTGCATTTCGGATTTGGGATCAGCAGAGCTACAACAAGCTCACACCTCTCTCTATCCACTGCTACCTCTGATTCCCAGCCTTAGGCAGATTAAGTGTTGGCAGCTGAGGAAACCCCTGCCGCCCCTTGTTGTCTTCAACCTTCTGCCACCCCGACCCACCACGTCCGAGCGGGCAGTACGTCCTCCCCCCAGCCACGACCGTGGAAGCCTGGCGTGGGAAGGTGACCCACAGCTGGCTTCAGTTCACGCAGGGTGACCAGCCCACGCGGCCCCACAGCTGGCAACCAGACACAGCCTTGTCCTGCTGTCCCCGCTCCGGCCTCCGGCAAAAGGGCTGCACCTGCGTGAGGGGGAATGACTCCCATTTCCACAGCTCCCCCTGCGCTCTCGAAAGCTCTTTTCACAAATCAGGCAGACTTCAGCAAAAGGCTACCAAAAAAACCCCCAACCATTATATTTGAGCAAAAAGAAGAGAGTACTCACCCCCACCAAGAGCATCTCCTAAATGAAAATCATTGTCTAAAAATGAAAAGGAGGAATGTGCAGAGAAGTGAGTTACATACAATTCTTGAAGTGAAATATTAGTCTTAATAGAAAATGTGCAACTGAATGTTTGACAAGCAGCTTCCTCAGGTTAGTCCCACAAATACAAAAAAGGTATTACGCTTTTCTTGAAAACTCTTATAGAATTTAATATTTGACCACACAGTAATTGACAAATGATACAATACTTCCTACTCAAAGTATGAAAGATTATTTACTGCTTTAAATAAGATCAGAATAAATCTCATAGTGGGATCAAGATCAATCACCGTTTTAATATATCTGCAAGTACATAAATAAAATCAGCTATGTTAAAATATTAAAATGTATCTAATTTAAAAATATACTTATTTATTAACATTTATGTCTGTGGTTAAAACTGGTATATGTGTGTTTGGATTAAGTGCAATTTGTTGAACTGCAACCACCGAACACCCATTTCAAGAACAAATAAGTAATAAACCTGCTTGAGGGAAGAGTATTGAATCTACTAATTTATGTAAAGGTCATGGTGACACAGAGAAGTTTTGCTACAAGCAATCATAGATGCCTGTCTGAGGTTGGGTGACTGTTTTTCTTTGGCTGAGCCATAAAGGTTTTAAAATACACTTAAATGTCTGCATGTGCATGTTATGCAGTGAATCAACAGGCTGTTGCCACTCCCCCAGCACTGTACACGTGTCTCACTGTACCTGGGATGGAATTTTCCATCTAATAAACAATTTGTCCGTGAGCTGCAGATGCATAAATAAGAGGAACTTCATTTCCAGCATGCAGCTGTCAATGAGTATGTGGGTGATATTTTAGGGTGTGTATGGAATGCTGGTGAGCTCTGAAAGGTCACTGAGTAATAGGCAGAATACATTAGATAGATGTCATAACTCTAAGAATCTCTTTCTTTCTCCTTATAAATGTGGAGTGCTAGAACGAATCAGAAGGGACAGCAAAATCTACCTAAATTTTGGTACAGATGCTTATTGCCACAGAAAATTTGATAGATACTCAATTAATTTTTTTTTTTTTTTTCATAATTGTGTCAGAATTCCCGACACTCAGGAAAATCCACCCAAACGCATCACTGTGCAAAACCCCACCTTCTTGTGTTCCTTATATCCAGAGGGAATGGGAAGATGCTTTTGCATAGTATCTAGTCTCACTTGTGTAACAACTCAGAAAGGCTTTGATGTCACCAGGAAATCTGGCGGGAAAATAACCAAATTCATACTACATAACTCGGTTTGTTCTTGTCAAGTCAGGTGTTGACCCTGTCAGTGTCTGGCCGGCGGAGAGTTGCATTTCAAAAAGACCTTTACCTGTCGAATGCTAACACTGTAAGAAGCAATAAATTGCAAGCTGGATTCAATTTATTATCGAGATGAAGAATTCAGGTAAAATGCAGTGTTCCGCTCTGGAGGGTTCATGCGGAGATTTGTTGCAGAAATGCTAAGGTTGATATGAATAAAATACAAACGAAAATGTGTCTGTAGGGACCAGAAATAACAGCAGAACAAAGGGTTAAAATAACAGACAAGAAAGGTCATCATTCCCAGCAATAAAATTGAGGAATGTGTTGCTTCTGTCAAAACCAGGAGGCCTGTGCTCCGATAAGATGACAGCACAGACGACTTGTCAGCAGAGGAAAAGCAGAAGGGCACTCGAAAGCCAGAGGTTGCAGCATATCACCTATTCCACTGCTCCTCCTGTTCGCCCACCCAGAAAATAAACTGTAGATAAAGTCCGTGTACCCCAAACAAGCTAAACCAGATAGAGGGGAGCAATGTGGCCTCGGGATCAGAGACACTGACGTAGGCATGATTATGAGGCAAAGACCCTCTCCATAATAGCTGATGACTCCTACACGGTATAAAAGATCTGTACATAAACTGGCCTGTCATTTCTGATCAAGAAGAACCACAGAGACAGGATAAGGACTCAGAGGCTGGCGTGCCTTGTCCCGTGTTGCACATGGTGTTCACCAGACCATCCAAGCACACACACCTCGGTGCTCCTGGGTGTGTGGGTTTGAGCATATGGCTGAATTAAATCAACAGTAGGATGAATGTGAGAGGTTAAAATCAACTTCTTTAGAGATTTTATAAATAAACATCACCTACTGTTAAATTTTGTGTTGACTTTTGTTACGGTAGATGGGAGGTGCCTACAGGGGAGATCTTCAGCTCAGGCAGAGGTGAGTGGGAAGTGATGCCCAGAGGACACAGTCTGTACAGTAACTGGCCTCAGCTGAACCAAAATCCTCATCTCAGCCAGCCTCACTTCTCAGTGATACTGTCTGAATGAGACGTAGAGGAAACCCTGAGGTTAAGATCAAGCATCAGGCAGATGCTAGGACAAACTTTTGTATCCTTTTTCTACACCTTCCAAATCCAGTAACTGATTTTAACTTTTTTTTTTTTTTTTTTTTTTTTTTACTAGTTTTATTTGTGTTTAAACTTCCTGCAATCTTCTTCAGTGCTCAGAGATTCCAAAATGGTCTGGAAAACATGGGGCTCTTCATTCCCAAGAATTAGTGAAGTTGATTCAGGTAGGGCAAATATTCTTCTGACGGTCACATCTCTAACAGATTTAGGGGTCCCTAAAAACCAAATTCCTTTCAGCTGACTGAGGCAGCATCACTGTAGATATTGGCATCCCTAGGTTACCTTTAAACAAGACTGGGGACAGAATCTTTTAGAGCACGACTCAAGTAACCTGCTTGAAATGTCTATATTAGGATGAGAACAATGCCCCGTTTAGAGTGATATGAACTGTCCCTAGACATGCTGATTTCTTGCCACTACCTTTAAAGGGAGTCAGGACAGTTAGCTAAGTAGAGGGCAGTGGCTTAGCAGTGCTTTAGAACAGACACTTCTAATCTAGGCCAACCACAGATTTTCTTTGCAAAATTAAGTGGGAAGGAAGAACACAACCATTACAGGATTTAGTAGCTACCCCATTCGCGAAATGCTGACCCTGTTTGTTCAAAGTGTGAGCCAGAGAATCGTGTGGAAAATGTAACTGCTTTCCAGTACCTAAAGACTTATTGCAATGTTTATTCAGAGGAAGACTGGAAACTGTTGTGTGGGCTAATGTTATCCAGCATTTCATGATTCAAGCATTTTGTTTGTTAGCCAGAAATTTCTTTCAGTGTAGTTTAGTTGAAAAATCTCTATGTTATCATAAAATGTTCCATCATAAATGCATGTGTGGTTTTGTTGTTTAGAGTTTGGGTTTTTTCAGCAATAGCATTTGTCATCCTCAGGACTAGAGCTAAAACCTTTTGGTTCTCTCCACTGTTCAGAGCCTTTTTTCCTTTCTGACACAGGTCTTTGTAGCAATCAATACCGGATAATATTAAGTGAACATACGGGGAGAAGAAAGAATACCCAAATTCCTTCTGATTCTTTTCCAAGTCTGTTATCAAGCACTGTGAATATTTATACTAAAAGAAAAGATAATGAGAAAAAAAAATGTAGAACAGTTACCCATTTTTAGCAACAGTTGATTTAGCAACGGTATAACCTATGGTTATACCCCCCAGGGAGTTCAGTACAGGAGGGAAAAGCATGAAGAAGATCTTCAGGAAATAAAATGCCATCACTGGCCAGTCATGCTGTAAAGCCTTACTAGAAGCAGTAAAGACATGGAATTGATAATTTTCAAAATACCCACTTACTTTACATGCATAAGACAGCTAGCATTCACACAAATGATCTCAGCTATGGTACATTAGCAAATATGATCAAGGATCTCATGGGAGACGGTTTCTACATATCTCAAATCAGTTATGACCAGTTGTCTTCATCACTTACTCAGCACAGGCCTTGTCGGTCTTCTGATCACTGTAGGCTTCCTGGTAATTATGTCCTCTGTGGGACACAACAGTGTACCAATTAACAACGACAGCTTAAACATTTTCAACTTAACAAAGGAATGTATCTGCAAATCTAGAGAGCTGCATTCAATAAATATTTATGTATCATGGCAGAAGATAAAAAGGGGATATGTTTTTAAAGCCTTTTGGTTTTGTTTTAAAGAAAATTTTAATTTTATGACAGGAACATTGAAAACTAGCATTTTCCAGTTCTGTGTATCTTTAGCTCAAGTAGTAGCCACTTCGTATTCCAGTCCTCAAGGAAAAGGACTTAAGATTTATTATTGGATCTAAATGCTGTAGTAAAATAAGGATAGGAGATTTACCTACCTGGGTGATCAAGCGCATCAGCTAAATCAAAATCACGTTGACCTAGAAGGAAGGTGACAGAAGGAAAGAGTCAGTGGGCAGGTTTCCATGACCCCCCAGGTCTGAGGGCTCTGGGCAAAGCCCGAACACCACTAAGAGGCAAAAGAAAAATGCATCCGAACAGGAGCAGGCGCCGAGCGGGCTGTCAGCTGCCGTCCCTGCACCGTGCAGCCCCGAAGGGCCGCGCGAGGTGGGCTCGTTGGGTGAGCTCGTGGAGGAGCTCCTCGTTCAGGTAGCGCAAGGAAAAGCTGCTCCCTCATGTTATCCCCTCTCCAGCCGCCGGGCAAACGTGCCCTGGAAGAACACAGGTGCCTGTCACAGGGCACAAGGTCTATTTATTGCCAGGAGATGGCTGAAAGTGGCCCTCAGTGCCGTCCTGGCAAACCGGAACCGTTAGGTGAGAACTTTTAATATCTTCATTACTGTTTTACTAGCTCAGCTTCAGAGAGTAGCTTTACTGGCAAATCTGCCTTGTAACATGAATCAACTTTTTTTTTTTTTTTTTTTTAATTCTTCCTGTAAACGTGTGCCAGCAGTAAAAGATGTATTTACCTAATTTAGCTTCCGCTGTAGCTTAAAAAATCTGAAAGGGGAGAAAAGAACCCTTCCTGTTCTGTGTTAGGTGACAATGATGTCATTAAATGTCACAGCAGGGCAATTAGCACCCTGACCTTTGAAGTCAGTAGGTAAATAAAACTGGAAAATGTTTAAAATGTATTAAATTGAAGCATATGACTTTGAAGTGAACAAACACGGTTATTCATGTGAGTTTTACTTTCCACTCTCCACAGTCTGCCACTTTCCTTTTAACACACAGCCTTCATGAAACACCTCTTTGCAGAGTATGGCTCCATTAGTTTTCATCCAGACTGAAACTTCACCATCCTTATGTTTGCACACCAAATACGAGGTCAGCCTGCACAAACCCGCAAAAAGTCACGACTTGCCGTGGCTTCCCTAGGGAGAAATGTTTTACTGTGCTCTATCGAGTAAGCCTCTTGATCTGCATCTGTTTATTATCCTGTCTAAAAGGCTGAATACCTAACTCTTCGATTAAGTGTTTTTCTTGGTAAGTCTTGAACACTTCACGACAAGAAAGGCATCATTGTTCAAGCAGGGAAACTGAGGAAAAAGAGAGAGGCTGTCAGAGGTCCTCTAGCATGACAGTGCTCTGGGTTCAGCCCAGCCCTCTCTTCTCGGCAGCTGCTGTCCATCTTCATGGCATTCTTCACGTTAATCACTGTTCCTGAATAATAACTCTGGCCTGTGTCAAAGAGCTCCTGGAAAGATTAATTATCAGTGGTAAAACCCTGTGTGATCCTCAGATAAAAATCAATGCAGGAGCACAAAGTAGAAATGTTTTGATTCCCATGAGGATTCTCGCGTAAGTCTGTGAACTTAATTATAGCTGGTGGCTGACGGAAAAGATGAAACGAGGCTGGAATGCAAAATAGTGAATGGCTTCTAAAGCAAACTGTCCCTGTAAAACATTATGACAAACCCGTGTTCGGAAAGGGGGAGCAGAGAGCAGCACCAGGCTTTCCCAGTAATGTTATTAGAGTAGCATCTTATCTTTTATCATTTGAACTGATCTTTGAGTGTCACCCCCTCCGACAGCCTCCCTTTCCCCTGCCCTGACTGCTCAGCTAACCCAGCTAAGTCCAGTAATCTTCGGACTGGGTCCGTCGATGGATAATATTCCAAGACCTCGACAGGTTATTTTTTCCATAGGACTCCGTTAAAATACACAAATATATAAAACTGACAAGTGGTTTCCTCAGAAGCTATTCCCTGCCAGAGCCCTGAGGGCACCCCCAGCCCTTACTGGCCCTGCGCCCCTGCCCGTGGGCTGTCACAGCCGTGCTGCCACCCACCCGTGGCACCAGCCGACCCCGATGCAGACCCCGACCCACAGGCAGACATCCGGGCATTGCCTCAGCTTACACGGCCAACTTATATTTTTTCTGAGGCATCTTAATACAAGCAACTTAAGTTTGACTGTCCTTTGATTTTTTTCCTCTGGATAAATCTTCATTCTTGATCGGCATCTTGAGTGGAGGCTGTCTGACCCGAGCCCTGCGGCTCTAAGATACTGCCGGCAAGGCTCCAACTATTTCTCATCAGAGTGAGTCATCAGAAATAGTTTTGTAACACCAAAGAGCTGTTGGCCAAACCAGCTCCTTTGTTACAGGTCCTGACATGCGGGAACTAATGATGCACAAAGCAGCTACCAAGGTCCTAACGCTGTAAAAAGAATGTGACAAAACCATCATGTGAAGGAAGACTCTGGAAAACATCCAGGTATAATATTTTTTTGAAATTAGGATAAAGAAAAAAAAAAAAATAGAAGGAAGAATCTAATCAAAAGAGATTCTGGAATTCAAACAAGATGATGCAGATGCTTCCAATTGCCTGAGAACCAAAGAGAAACAGCAGACTGAAACAGTTACTGACATCTGCCCTTCTCTTGGACAATACTGATGGTTCCCTCTCCTGTTGTATGCCTGCTCTGTTATCAAAAAAGTGGGAAAAGACAAGAGACGTTCTTTTGAGACAGCAAAGGAGAAATGGAGGACAACTACAGAAATTTTAAGAAGAGAAAAAAGAATCCTGAAAATCCCCTGCAGAAATTATTCAGATTTTTTTTTTTTCTTTCTAATTCTTTCTCATGATAAACCAAGTCATAAAATAGACACCAAGACAGAATGACTGATTGGGAGTAAGACAAGAATCTACATTGAAATCTCTTTGGCTGTGTAAATATGAACCTTGACAGATGGGTAGACTGTACGTGGACATCTGTGCAGCATGGTAAATGATATTCCAATAAACCAGAAGATTTCTTGGTCTTCCATCCCAACTTCCTCCGGTAATAACATCAAATGACCGCAAGGAGTGAGGTTTTGTGGAGCAGAATTTTAAATGTTCATTACCATTTCTGAGACTGCACCTAGACATTTTAAGAATAATTTGGGAGGATAACAGATGGTTAAATAGCTGAACAGCCCAGACTTCATCCACGCAATGGTGGGTCTAAAAACAAAAACACATTAGAGACTCAGAGAATATTTAGCTCACTAGGAACTGCAGTCACTTCAGGGAACCCTGAAGATAAATGGCAACAGAAATAAATTAGTCAGGCTTCTTCACAGAACAAACAGATTGAAATAAATTCATTTTCTACATATAAAAATGGCATCTTTTTTTGGACCAGCTTCCATAATAGAAGCAGCTGGAAATATACTGATGAGAATGAGAATGAAATAAATTTTAGTGGGGAAAAAACAGCTTTGTTCCTTTGGGGTATTTTATTTGGTTGGGGTTTTTTGTTTGTGGTTTTTATTGGTTTGGGGTTTGTTTGATTTTTTTTTTGTTGTTTTTGTTTTGTTTTGTTTTGTTTTGTTTCGTTTGTTTTTGGTTGGTTGGTTGGTTGGTTGTTTTTTTTTTTTTTTTTAACCTGGATAAAGTTACGAAGAGATTTATCTATGCAGGAGGTACCTCAGAGTTATTTCTGTTATTACTGCTCTGGGCTAGTATGCTATTTCTTGGCATTACTTCTAGCCTTTCTTCTGGGACTATCTCTGTTTTTATATAGAAATAAAATTATTGTAATAGTGGGTTTTCTGGGGTGATTCATAACAGAGAGTTTGAGAAAATGCTTATAAGCTTCTGCCTGACACCACAGAACGGTCCTTATCTGCAAATTAGAAAATGCTAAGCTAAGAAAGCAAGCCTTCCAGATGGATATACAGTTTGTATTGCAAAAGGACCTGGTTTAATTATGTTTATACTAGCTGCTCAAACACAATGAACTATACTAACAGCAGGACTCTTGCTGGCACTGCCAGCCTTATTTGGGATGTAATTCCCTCATCTCCACCCAACACGTGTAGCTGTGCCAGTAAAAATCTGAAGTGCTGGCCTGGCCTACATAGCTAACAGCAGACTTCTCTGTAGCAGCCAGACAGGGGAGAACTGACTCCATAAAGCCAAGCATCAAAACATAGCAACTTCAATTTCAAAGCTACTACATTTATTTTTACAGGCATGATTCTTCCAGGTAGAAGATTTGCTTTCACTAATTCCCATACTTTCTATGAGCCTTTCTAATATCATGTGTGGAAGGCTGATGATAGAAAATCCTTGTCACTCTGCTATGGGGGCTGGTACAGTTGCTGTTTGCCACAGAGGTACTGAGCCAGCTTTTAGTAAGTTCCCTTGAATATAAGACACATCCTGCTGAACGATCACAGACTTGAGGTCATCTTACTCCCTCAGGACAGTCCCCTGCACATGAGCATTTAACCCTGCACACGAGTCCTCAGGCACATGAGCATTTAACATTCACAAACTTCTGCCCGTGTTACTCTTCCGAAAATGTGACTGAAATATCCAGCCACTAAAATAGAGAAAACAGCATCTTTTGCCTATGGTTGAATTTGTGACCTAAATGTTAAATGGCTCCATCACCCATTAGCTGTGTAGCAGGCTGATCACAAGGGTCTGAGGTCCCACAGTTTATGAGGAGCAAGGATTTATGAGGAGCAAGGCCGGATTCTGCAGGTGGATGTTACCTGTTCATCATTACGACTGTAGTCAGAAGTTTTCTGACAAAAGGCTCCCAAGGCATCACTCTGCTATCTTTAATCTCCATAAGCAGGCTCAGTCCTGCACCAGATCCATATGAACACAGCTTGTGGCCATTAAAATTATGCACATAAGGGAGCATGAATATTGCTAAATGAGAGTCAGGTTATGCAGCAAATGAAATTAACTTCTCAGGAATTTAATATGTGTAGTCTAGTATTAAAAATGAAGCTCAGATCCATGAGAAAATGTGTGTATATGTATGTTTATATGGGTATATACATGCATGTGGACATGTATCTTAAATGCATACATGCACAAGTGTGCTAGGTAAAATCTTTTGACATTAATATGATTAAATTAGTGGGCTTTGAGTGCATTGCTAGCAGTCATATGACTGGGATGAGATTACCTGT